CAGCCCGATGGCTTCAGTATGCCTGGCTGGAAACTCGCGGAAGGATGGGTTGAGAAGGACCACCTACAGCGTGTAACAGTGTTAGGCTCTTGATGGTATTGCCTACAAGTCACCCAGAGAGCAGCGCTCCAATCTCCCACTCAATCACGCGCCGGGCCTTGAATCGGCCATGGCTGCAGTGCGCACACATCATATTTGGCACTCAACCTTCAGGGGACAGCACTGAATCTTCAAAGGAGCTGACGAGGCAGCCCGTGTCTAGTCCTAGCGACAATTAATTGACCACAGATACGGCATTCACGGCCGTTCACATCATTGTAACCTTTTATCTATACACGAGACTCTAGTCTCTGATCAATAGCAAGCTGTGACTGTAGACTTTTGGAGTATGTAGTCGTCTGGTAAATATCTTACACCGGATGCGCAAGCTATCAAGTTGACCTTTACTTTGGCACGGATTAGACAAACATGCTCATCTCAGATATATATGGAAGAGCCGGCCTGATTTGATCATTAGACTGCCACAAGTGTTGAAGCTTTCGCCTTAGTACCGAGTAAACCCTCCATGCGAAGGGGGAAGCCTGTTGCAATGCCGCCTGTGGAAAGGGGAAGCGTCTCTATTACTACACTACATGTAATTCTTACTACACTGCATACAATCTCAGCACATTCAAAGTACCATTTCTGGTCTTCATGTATCACGAAACATGTCGCCGTGGGAGGCTCTGGATGTATCAAGAAAAGAGCCCAAGGCTTGGTGTCATTAACTATAATAATGTTCTCCTGATGAGATTATGAACTGTTCCCGCACACGCTCAAGTGGTCATTGAATTCTTTACTGTAGTTTCTATACCAAATAAGTCCAAGTCGTCATTTATGATGTCCATGCTACACATATCAGGTCTGCAGCAAAAGAGAGCAAAAGAGCGTCGAAATCAGAACCCAAACACACTCTCCGGCAGAACCCACTTTCTCACAACTCCTACATCCTTCAACCACTCGTAAACCCCTCCCCAAATCTTTGATACACGTAGACACGTCGTCACCGACCCATCCGTCAGCGCCGGAGGTCCCACCGAACCCTCCGAAGAGCCCCGCGACCCGCCCCTCCGAGGACCCCCCATCATCGTGGCCCTCCCTCAACTTAGGGCAAAATCCACACGGCATCACACATCCAACAATCAAATCCGCTTCAGGATGGGGTCGGTTAGCTCAGTTGGTTAGAGCGTGGTACTAATATTTCATCAGAAAATGTTGTGTAAATGCCAAGGCCGGGAGTTCAAGCCTCCCACTGATCAGTGTTCTCTTTTGCTGGTGGTGACAAGTGTGCCAGTGATAGAGATGTATGGATAGCTTGATTCTTTTGAAGTTTTGGAAGGTCTTGTGAGAAGGGAGTATCGAATGATGGGGGAGGTTGTTGACTGATAGGGGTGGCGTTGAGGTAGGCGAGATCTTTGGCTGCTTGATCATTCGAGGGCGAGGCGTCTTGTCCGAATAGCCTCTTTGTGAGCTGATACCCTGCGCTCCCTTGAATTCCATAATCTTTAGAAGATGCCCGAGTCCGCCTCCGGCTTGTGGGATATCTTGCCGGCGATGGCTATCCCGTCGCCGCACTCAAAGGGCGCCGGCTGTCGATGCTATCCCCGAAGGCCGCAGTGTTGATGCAACAGACAAGAAGAATCACGTTTGAAGTTGAAATAGTTCTGCCCGGGCTTGGTTTGCGAACCGGTGCGGGAATGACGAGTTCCTGAGGCTACTAACCAAACGGCTTACTCGAAAGATTCTTCAGCGAATTTGTTGCAATCAGACAAAATCATGCCGTGATATCCTCCACGAGTCGCCTCCCGCATCTATATCTAATATTGAGAAATGAACTCAAAAAAGACTAACTGCCTAAAACAAAGAGTCATCGTCACTCTGGTTATATCACTGGTCGTAAGCTTTGGCTTCTCTGTTGAGATACTTTGGACTTAGCCATGAAAATTCTCAGGGGAAAGGAAACCTCATTATGCTGTCAACCGCGAGGCTGAAAAAGTATGTTTATCATTAATCAGTGACGCTGCCTGTTGAAAACCCTTTCACTCCCCCCTATACCCACGAAATCCTCATGTTGAAACACCCCCAGGGAGAATCTCATAAACCGTTCTGCTGCTGCTCCACAGCCTCCTCCTCCTGCAGTCCCGAGTACCGCAGATATAGCCGGTCTCTAAAGTGTTGGTGGCGAATCCCATTAGGCCTCGCCTCCTTGAATGTCTCGATCGCGTCCTTGACCGACATCCCACATCGGTCGACCAAATAACACACGATAAAGTAGCCAGTGCGGTTGAAGCCGTAGTGGCAGTGGACGCCAATGACCTGCGTCTGGCCGTCCACTTCGGCCCACTTCTCCTCCTCGGCCCTCGCCTTCTGCTGCTCTCGTAACTTGTCCACGAGGGCAATGAAGTGAGCCACCTCCGAGTCCTTTGGCGGTATCTTTGAGACCGTCGCGAACTTGTGATATCGTACGCCGCCCTTTTCCATGCTCCGTGGATCGTACACCGGCTTGTCGTGACTGATGTCAATCACGTCCTTGATGATTCCTCCCCAGTTCTTGACAAATTCGGCAGGGCAATGCGTGTCATCTGCTTCTCGTAGAGTCTTCATCGCTCTGAAGACTGGCGGGCTGCCTACTGGACCAATTGGGTGCGAGACCGGGGTAACGCCCTTCCACTTGGCTAAGTTCTTCACATCCCACTTGCCTTCCCGTGAGAGATACTGTAGTTGCCAGCCGAGGGATAGACGACCAGTGACATGATTGGCAAGGAAGTCGGAGATGAGACCAGCCAGAATTCTGACTGTAGCAGGCATGAATAGAAGCGCGTGGTTGGCAGGCGCAGGCATAATGATAGACCTGACGACCTTGGTAGGATGCCGGGCCTGAGGCGGGACATTTGCGGGCGACTCTTGCGGTGTTGACGGGTCTTCGAGAGCGTTGTCCGCATCTTCGTTGAGTTTGCGATCTCGATGGAAGTCCTCGTCTCGAATATCATCTATACTCTCGGGCCCGTGGTCCGTCGGATTCTTTGATGTGTTGACTGGTGCCGCCGCGTCGACAATAGTTTCATGCCCGTCGTCCGACCCAGTCTCGGGTGATAGGGGCGCCTTGCCCGAGAGATAGTCCTTGATCTTGTCCACCTCCTCAGGCTTCGTGAGCTTGTCCTCTTTTCCGCCGACAAGATAGACCGGGACATCAATGCCGGCCCACACATCCTTGCCAGGTACGCCACCCTTCGCAACTCCGTTTTCATAGTTTGGAAGCGATCCCCAGGCCATTCTGCGCCAGACGGGCGTCCTGCTTTGGTTGTTGAAGCGATCCTGGAGCTTGCGAAGCTCGAGATCAGCACCAGGGCCGACGAATCGACTCACGCTGGCACTTCGCGGCCCTCCCCACCGATCGTAAGCCCTCCACAGGTCAAAGATCCAGCCGGGTACCCATAGTAGCCTTCGAAACAGCGTCGTCTTGTCTTCTGTGGGTGGGCCGGCTACGGGACAGATGGCGACCAGTCCGACAACGTACTTGCGAAGGTCCGTCTTGTGCGGCGCATTGCGACTCGCCAGCTGCGCGCACATGGTAGTCCCCATACTGTGGCCAATGAGTACGACGCTGCGATCGGGCTCCTTCTGACGATACTCATCGATGATGACCTCCAACAGCTCACACAGCGCCTCCGGAGTATAGGCGTCCCATGCTTGCTGGGTGAACTCTGAGCGGCCGCAGCCGGGCAAGTCGATGGCCAGGCAAGATGATATATGAACCAGACTCGTCAGCAACGGATGAAATTGAGCTACTGATCCTCCCAGGCCGTGGATACAGACAAGCAGGGGCAGTGGTGGGTTCGGCAGTTGGTCTGCTTGAAGGTGTCGTTTGTAGAATGTCCTGATACCAGAATAGGTATAGCGCTCCGTGGTGTACGAGCGGCTCTCCGAGTTCTCCTTCAGCAAGGTCGGATCGGTAGCTCCAGGGTCATGAGGGTTGGCGAAGCTTAGCCAGCCGGCGCCCTGTTGTCGGTCCGACATATTGAACACAGAGGGTGGTTCTGATATGCCGGGATTCAAGCGCGTAATGGGAAGAAATACCGCGAGTAGAGTATAGTGAATATAATAATTTCAACTTCAACAACGCAATGTGTGTTGGAAAATGGAGACCGGATAATGCGCGGGTATCTCTGAACGTAGTGCGCTATAAGAAAGTGCCGGGTCTTTTTTTGGTTGGTCGGGACGCGAGAGCGTTGATCTTGTGAATACGCCGTGTTCGGACAGAATAACAAGAAAGAGAAAAAGGAGCGACGAGATTAGCGGCCACCGTGGTCGGTGACACTGGGCCGGGAATGTGAGTCAACCAAGTTTGAGGCGGGAAAGCGGTCCCCTCGTTGACTTCTGGTCTGTTGCACCTGGTGCTGCTGGGCGCGAGGCCCAGAAGCACTGCAGGAGAAACAAAAGCGGATGCTTCTTTTTGTTGTTCTCAAATTGTGAGAGACACGCGCGGGCGCGGGGCAGGTGTCGTTCGTGAGAGATCGACTGATCGAGAGGCAGGCGAAAACGTGGTCGGAGTAGGCCGTTCGTAAGGCAAGATCTGTCACTGGGGTTCGAGTCGGGACGGAGTGAGTGAGAGCGGAATGAGTGGAGGGGAGATAAGGTATGAGTGAGACGTAGAGTAAGAGAGACGCGCGCTGGGTGAGTAGCGTAACTAGCCATGAGCCGCCTCGATAGACAGGTAAGGTGGGACAGGCCGCAGGTGCATTCGGCGGGCACGGCAAACCTTTGCCTTTTTGGCAATTTTATGTCACTGCTCATTTTCAGCCAACAGTTCGTCATCTCTCCTCCACCTGGGCCCGGGAAAACACTGTCATTGGTGTATTGCATCTAGATTTTTCTGGCCAATTGTATTGACTTTTTACACTTGGATTGTCCAGGGTCCACGGGTGCTGCAAGGCTGATTACGTATCAGATGAAGTTGAAATCTGGGTATTGTACATTGCGTTTAGGCAACTAGTATTCTATGTATTACAAGTAGTCCTCTAGTGAGCAAAGTTTTCAATGTTGGTCGCGGAGTGTCTCCGTATGAGCATTGAAGGGTTATGGTAATACAGCTCTTGCAGTCATAGCCAAGAGGTGGGACCTATGGCGGGGCCAAAAGAAAATACAGATGGGCGCCCGGTTGAATCAATCGAGAGTTTGCCATGGCGGAGAAACTGACACCTCTGTCACGCCCATGGCGGCCTATGAATCGCTGTAAATCGCTATGAGGCTGCCATGTGAATGACTCCAGTCTGGGTGACGAAATGTGTGCCTTCCAAATTCGACTCACCCTGAATCGCATTGAAGGTTTCCCGAGACACCGCCTACACTTCATACAGCTCCCTTGCCCTCTTTCCATCCGATGGGAATCATCGCGCCCGCAACGACATCGACGCCTCGCTCCGTAGCAAGAAGGTTGAACTGGGAAGCGGCGTTTCTGGTATCCAACACCTCAACACGGATGCCGAGCGAGCTGAGGTGCTTCCTCGTCGCCGGGCTAAGGGGCACAATCTTGGGACCAACACCGATGATGAGAAGATCTGTAAAGAGGCATCATTAGTAAACTGGACTACCTTCGAGATAGAAGAGAAGAGTAGAATGCGCACCAGGCCTCGGCCAGACCAGATCAAGGAGCCCGAATGCTTCCGCCGGCAGCTCGAACTGGCCCTTAGCGTTGATCAAGTTCTTGGACCCCTTCGCCTCCCAGGGCCTCCACTCGAATGCCTCGCCGCCGATGAGCAGCGCCGCATCGCCGTCCATGATCTTGACACCGCTGTTCAGGTGGAAGCCGTCCCATACGCAGGCGTCGATCGAGGTCGAGGGGATCGGCGTGTTGGCCAGTACGTCCATCTCGCTGAAGTCGGTCGCTCCCTGGTAATCCTTGACCTTCTCATTCTTTGATCTGAACGGGGTCGTGTGGAATTGACGGCGCATGGATAATGGCTGGGCGGCAGCGGCAGAGGGTCGTGGTGATACCGGCGAAGCTCGAGGTACGGATCGGGGGATGGTGCGCTGAGCGCGCGCAATTGCGCGGAGGGCGCGGGTTGTCGCAGAGGTGTTCATCAGTTCGTTGGCGTGCCTCTTTTGAAGGCTGGAAGTCTACCACCTAAGGTAGGGTAGTTCGAGGGCTGGGGTCAATTAAAAATTCGTGCAAGCTTGTTTAGTCGTGGTGTGGTTGTGTTTGGAAGAGCTGGAAAGCTGGGACCATTTTTTTCGGGGTGCAATGCCTCAGTGTCTTGAACGTCATGATTACTGGGTTAGGTGGGATGTTGGACTACCTCAAGCACGAACAATATCGACTCGGGAAACGCAAGACGATCGCCACCATGATAGGTAGCCAACGACTACTAGCTAACGTGGCCATGAACATGTATTTTGCGTTTCAACACAGTTGTCATCCGTAAAGGCGAGAAAAGTTCAATTTCGCTGTCATAATCCAGATCTCGGGAGTAAACCACTTTTTTTGGGCGCCACGACCAGACACCGCGGGGTTGTCGTCCGTCACAGAAAAACGAACGGGAATCCCACATGACCAATAAGAATTGTGTTGTTGAAGGGCTCGATTTCCGTTTTCATTCAGGTATCGAGGCCTAACAGTGCCCTAACGACAGCGTCGGCAAGAAGAACCGTTTCAATCCGCCTCGTGGCCCGACGATCCTTTGTATCATGCTGTTTTTGCCCTAATGAACACCGAAGCAATGAACCAACCCCTTATTCCCATTCCTGCCAGTGTTGTGTTTGACGTGACCAAGAAGAGATGCGTCGGGTTTATTTCTTCTTCTCGCTCTGGCTCTGCTCCTTGAGAACCTTCTTGACGATCTTCTGCTCCTCAATGAGGAAGGCACGAACGATACGGTCACGGACGCAGTTACCGCATCTCGAGCCACCGTACGCGCGCTGGACGGTCTTCTTGGGCTTGGAGATCTGGGAGTACTCGCGGGGGCGGAGGGCGGGGACCTATCGCGGTCACGTTAGCATGCCGTCTGCTTGGCTCTGGTACACTTTAAGTCGAAGCCGAAAATTCGTCGTTGCCATCTGGGAGCGCCGGATCCCCAGGAGTCATGCGTCCTTATTCCCGACCAGCCTCGGCGTGACCCCTCGAGACAAGATGTGCCCCTCTCACAGGACATCCATGACCATGACCGAATAAGATCCCACAGTTTCGTACTCTCTCAGATGGCTTCTCGGATCGTTCGTTTCGGCTTCGGTGTAGGGTTCGAACTTACGCCAGGGAGCTTGACACCGCAGTCACCGCACTTGGGGGCAGTACCGCGCTTCTTGATGTGAAGGATTCTCAGCTCACCACCCGGGGTCTTGACGATGCGGGTGAGGTTGGAGGAGGTGTTGTAGCTGCACACGGAAATTTTCCAAGTCAGCCTCTTTTCCCAATCTATCCACCATGTAACATTTTTTTCGCGATCGCGGGGAAAGAATAACGTCGTTCGGTCGTTGAATTGATCGTATGCAATATCTCTAGGAAGAATCACTCACCCGTTACGGCGGCGGTACTGGACACGGTTTCCGGCCATTGTGACTGATTTGCTGCGGGCTGCGGGTTGGTTAGTTGAGAGTCGAGGATCGCGAGCGGATTTTCGTGCTTTCTCGAAATTTTGTGTGGGTGGAAAGACGAGATAGAGCCCGCTTAGGCGACCAATGAGGCGGGGGCAGTGGGTGGTAAGCCACATGTGGCTGCTGCCAGCTGGAAAGCCCCGGACTGAGCCCAGCTCACGTGCCAGACACGCTAACAATTTTTGTGTCAGAAATCATTGATAGTCACTGTTGACGGCCAATTGGATGGAGAGGTAGAATGTGACCCGCAGCCTGCCAGCTAAAGTGCCCAACGGCAGCAGTAATTTCCTGAGCTTGATTTGAGTCCAGAATCCAACCAAGCCAGCCTCACTGGTGATTCTCTGCTTCAAAGTTAAGATATCGGCTAGCCTTGTGTTATCGCCTTTCACTTTCAACTGGAATTCTAATTGCGTTCTCTCCATCATTTTCATGAATATACCCTTCAGCTTGTTTGCAATGGGCCCCTTAAAGCCCCGGTCCCAAGGCATCTGCTCATATATGCACCATCGAGCCATGATGTACCCAAAAATCAATCCGCTTCCCGCGTAATAGTCGCCGTAACGCCATAATTGCTGATACATCTACCTGAAGATCAACGGCAGCGCTATGAGTCTGTCGTTGTCCAGTCAGGGTGGTCTGTCGTACGCCACGCTTTGATGCCATTAGGCTCCTCTTTACGGCGTTGTGTAGCATGTTCCATAATGTTCGTGATCTTCTCGCTCTTTCTCAAGTCCTGAAAGTCTTGCACTTCCTTCTTGGCCGCAGCCACCGACTCCATATACGCTTGGAACGTGATCTGGGCTGGATGGTATACCGTCAGTGAGCGAAATATGTGATGATAGGCTCCAGACGTACGACTTGGTTGTTTGACAGACAAAGGTTCCATCATTCGAGGTATCGTCGTTCGTAAGCCGCGAAGCTTTGCAAGAGGTCAGCGTTGCGATCTAAGGTATCAACCTGCGCTAAGGGGCAACAGACCTTGACATGCAAGAGCTTGAGCTCGTCTAAAGCCTGTTCAAGACGTTCCTCATCCCACGCCTCGGAGCCTGCAGCACCAGGCTCACTCTTGATAGATGGGCCGTTGTTTGCCATGGTAGTGTAAGTTGGTCGGAGAAGCGCAGGGGTCTATCAGACCATGGCGCAGGAGAACGAAAGAAGGGAAGGGTCGAATCGGTCGGTCGACTAGCGGGCAGGCGGTGTGGTATGTTTGGGTCGGGAGTCGAATACGGAGAGTCAAATTGACGGACCGAGGCGTTTCAACGACCAGACCGGCGAGGTTGGATGGATGAGTGCCGAGCGAGGGCTCGAGGCGCAACGCGCAATCACGGCCGAAAGATGGTCCAAGAACGGTAAATGCTGGATCTGTGTTTGCGAACACTTCAAATGACACAGTCCGTAAGGCAAACGTTCCACTCACACTGTCATGCGTGGTGCTGGTCGGGGTCCAAAAAGGAGTACGGGAAGCAGGCCGGAGATACTGTGTGTATTGATTGGGGTGATGTCTTCAACGTCTGGTACGCGGCGCAGGTGCAGCGCATCCATGGAACCTGGAAGCATGGGCCAGGGCCAGAATCGGGTCCCAGCAGACTTTCCCAGCAGCGCGTCAAGGTGGTTGGTGCGTTATTCTCTGGAGTACCTATCCCCACTATTCCCGCAGGGCCAGTACATCTCGCCTACCTATCACGGTGCAAGGCACCCGGGGGCCAGGACACCTTGCCAGGCGTACCAGATTCCTTACCACTCCCGGACGTTCACTCTTAGGTACCTGGCCGTTGATTGGTCACGTGAACCTATATGTCGAGTCCGAGGCGGAAGGTGCAGCTTGCTTTCCGGCCAGGCAATCAATCTCTGGAAGAAAAGAGAAAAGAAGCGGAATACATAAAAGCGCATGTCCTTTACCTCCAGCCATTCTCATTCCCCCACATGATCCATCGCCATCGACCCAGCAAGAAAAGATTGTGTGCATTGCCAGCAAGCATCCCTTTTACTCTCTCGGATACCTCTACTACATAACAAACGCTGGATACCTTACCTGAGGTACGTGCAGCGCGAATGCCAAGCCCTGGACACTAGGGCGGCTTGCAGCTGGATCCTGGATGCTGACCCTCGCTAAAAAGGTTAGCCGGAGAGCGGATTAACTGCCAACCTAGTTCAGACCGTGCGGATTGGAATTCTCTGACTCCAACCTCTCCGTGTTTCCTGCCGTTCCGTCACCAGATAACTTAGCTGCAGCCCTTCTGAGGACAGCCCTTCACCCAAAGAAGTACGGATAGTATCGCCAACAAAAAGCTGTCGCACCGACTTCATCTTCATCTTCATTTCTCCGCCCCTCCATTTCTACTTACTGACGCGTCCGCCGCTCCCTCGGATCCGTCAATCACCGATTTCATTCCCCCACTTACCCTTCACAACCGCCAAGCTGGACTCCTCCGTCGTCATGTCGAATGCGCCTCCGCCTGCGCTCTTACCACCGCCCGAGGGCATCTTCCGGACCTTCGAAGACCTTCTGACCTCGGTTCAGCGCGTCGCAAAAGACCAAGGATATGGAGTTGTTAAGCTGCGCGCCTCAAATTACCGCGATGGCAAGCCGACCCGTTACGACTTGGTTTGCGACCGCGGCGGCGTCAAGTACAGCAGCACCGCCAAGAAGCGTAACCCATCGACGCGCAAGGTCGATTGCCCATGGCGCGCAAAGGCCGTCTGCGAGGTCCAGCTCGGAAACCAGTGGCGTTTTGCTGTTCAGGAGGGCAGTCACAACCACGAGCCTCGCATCGCGACCGCCCCTCCCGGTCAGGAAAACACCCCTCTCGCCCAGTCGATCCGTTCCTTCACCAACAAGATTGATCGCCTCAATCACGACATGAACCAAGGCTTCGGTCGTATCGAACAAGCTCTTGACACGATGAACAAGCGCCTAGAGAATCTCGAGAATCGCGCGGGTGGTTACGAGCCTCGGTTCCAGAATATGGAGTCGCGGTTGCAAGGCATGGAGGCGCGTGGAAGCATGGAGCTGCCCATGGACGATGTCGATGCTCGACTCCTGTCATCTTCGGTTATGTAGGAGAGTGACCCGGTTGACGAGTCGGGCTTCAAGGCTTCGGAGTTATCCGAGGACTTCGTGTGGACGTCTAATGCCTGACCACGCCTCGGCATCACAAGAAGCCCTGGTCACTAGCGTTCCCTCTCAACATGCGATGGACCGGGAAGAGGATCACGCGTCGACAAATGCACGAGACTCTACTCTCACAGCAAGTGGTTATGGATAAGGAGACGAGCCAAGGCAGGATTGGCGGGACAAATCATGTTATCACGGCGTTGGACGGGGATCAGGGCGTTTTCGGACACATTGAGTTTCATTTTTCTTCCTTGGTTCTAGTGCGAAAGAGCGGCATCGGTCGCAGGTTTGGGAGTATGGCCCTAAGAGAGGGTACTTTTTCTCATGAAAACTGTGCGATATTACGGGAGGGCGGCTTTTTTGTTTTGCGGTTCAGACACGTTTGGCGGACAATGAGGTCCAAAACCTATAGTGAGCATTGCCCCTTTGGGTGTTTTATAGGATCATCGCATTTCAGCGTTACCTTGCACACAAACGGCTTCAGTTGGAGTGTTATCCGGGATGGTAAAGTTCCAGTTCGTGATCATCGCTCTTTCCTCATTGCCTTCGGGACAACCTTTCTCGTAGGAGCAAGCGATATGCCGAAGGATGACGTAACATGAGCACCTTGTCGGCCGCTGCCCTTTAGTCAATACCTCGCGAGATAGACTTCATTTACATTTTTTGCCTCGACAATCGTAAGTACGCTGTTCAGTCTTCCGCCAAGTTTCCTCCCAGAATCTCGAACCTACATCTCGACGACTTATACGAGCTGCCTCGCCCTGGAATGGAGTCCAGTCCGGGGACACAGTATCAACTCCCACATCGGAATCCAACTTCGCACGTCCGCATTGCACACACTGTGAGGCCAGATCCCACACACACCCATGACAAGCTCTGGTTGGTTTCCTTTCTTGGTGCAAGCAAACAATATTCCTAATCAAGCCCTGCGCGCCGGCCGGCAGAAAACGCCACCAGATGCGTTTTACAACCCTTGACCCTCGAGGCAACATTACGAAGTGACGGACCGCGGATCGCTCTCCGCCCACTATCAATCTCCGCTCCCCGCGCTCCTCGGCTTGCTCCCAGATCCTGACGATTTCTAACGAGGAGACCCCTTGTCGTTGCTCGGGCCAAACTGCTCTGGGTGGTCCAACTTACATATCACGAGCCTCCGACTTGGAGGTATGCTTCTTCTGGACGCAAAATGCTTCGACGCATTACATTGGCAAGCTAGGGATTAGCATGCCTGTTGGCTACCTTGGCTAACGTTCGTCCGAAAATGCTACATGCAGATTTGTTCAGTACAGTGACCACAACCACCCACCTTTCTTTGATTGAGATCGATCGGGGCGCTTGCTGGCGCATGCATCTCACATGCTACACAGCTTGACAATTTTGGCGATGCCGCCTTATTTGTCGCCAGATTGCATCCTGTCGCCAAGGTCCATGATCGTTTCCTCCCAGGCTTCAGCTCAACTGGCCAAGACGCACAGTCCGTCTACGGGATTTTACAACGATAGGATTTCCATTCCGGGGAACGGCCGTCAACGGGTCTGTTTGTTGTCTAAAGATACCTGCTAACGAGGATACATATGGATTCCTACCCAATCCTTCCATGCCTGCTCCCTAGGCATAGTGCGTCCATAGCCTCGGGATGAGGGAGGAACGAGGTTGGGTCACACAAGGACAGCCGCTGATATCTAACTACTTGTTCGTAACGCTTTCGACTGCAGCAACTATTGGGACAGCTATCAGCACCGCGGTCTAGGCATAGGCCGCATTCCCTTCTCGTCGACAGGGGTTATCTCGGACTCTGCAAGCTTGTTCAAACAATTGACAGGGCTGTAAATAAGAGATTTTCCGGCGAGCAGGGTCTTGTTGACGAAAGGGTGTTCTTGTTCCATTTTGACAACGGGTTTGCAAGCCACTTGCCATTGTCCTCGAAAGCTAGCTGGGTTAGATTAACCACAGACAGGCGTAGGTAGGCCTCCAGTGGACAGCACGTCGGTTGGCTGCGAATAACCGGATTCGACAACACGTCGATCCCCGCCCGTTGTCGATAACAACGGCCGTAAGGCCGGCCAAAGAACGCGGAGTTGCTGAAATCGCCAACGACTGGCGGAGCCAAATTGCATGGCGAGGCGACGTTCAATGCAGTCCTCCGTCCGCAACAGGGAGGAACTCCGGAATCCTTTGGAAGACTCGATGTAGGATGCCACCTTCCGAGGCTTGAGGTTTTCTTACTCCACTGTTACCTGCAGTGCGCTTCGTCATATCATCACGCGCACAGGCAGACATTTGCCTACCTGGCATACGGCCGAAGAAAAGAGGCTCTGCATCAAGGCTATATCGTTCAATTCTGGCCCTTGCTTTGCCAATGCAGCGAAGATCCGGAAACAATGGTGCCCATGGATCGTGTACCCAGGATGCCAAGGGAACCCACCACAGCTAACGGTCTTCTCTCTTCTCTCCCTCACCCTCCTCTCCACCAACAGCAGACAGCGGCGTGGCGGCCGTGGCCCTACCCACCTTCGCATCTCGCATTCGGCTAGTACGATTGACAAACAAACATACACAAAGTCCCTCCCAGGTTGATGGCAGGGGTCAAGTCAAATGGACGAGAGCGGCTGGTCCAGGCTGATGAGACCGGGCCACCGAAGGCCAAGCATGGTTCATCACATTTACTGCGCCAGCAACGAATTACATCACATACCCGAATCTTCATAATCAGGCGAATATGGCCGCCTCCGCGTAGTTCCTATTTTCTTACGGGATTTTGCGGCTAGCTGCAATGCTGTCAGAGTCTCTTTGATGTCTCAGGACGAGCGGGCCAACCGCCGAAACGGCGGCCCCTCCAATCATGCTCCGGTGGCTGGATGCATGCAGCTTAGGTGAGAGAGGGAAATCAAGAGCTTCGAGACAACATCACTCATGCAATCTACCTGCCGCAAATGATCCAAGTGCGGCGGTAGGAGTCAGGCCATCAGTCTTTGTTCACTCGTCCTCACAGGGCTGAACTTGACCCTGGGTCATGCACCCGAAGAGTCTGATGCAGGGTAGTAGTTAATTTTGGAGTTGACAAGTCTCGCACGGAACATGATCATGTCCTCATGCATTCGCCGTTGAGTTTTAGCCATATCGCGGTCATGGCTCACGACGTGTATGGATGTCTCCGTGCTTGCGGGTTGCGGTGGGGGACACACGTTGCCCCGAGCAAACAATTGACTTCAATGTCTCGATTGATGTGGTATGTATACATTGCTCTATAGCTGCGCGTTTGTTGCTATGATTAGGTCATGTTCCAGCGAATGGGGATATCAGCCCCTATGCTCAAAAAATCAATTCGTCCGTTAACTCCAGTAATGCCACATGCCCCCCTTTCCTGCCCCTCTACTTCATGACTCTGGTCTGCCACCTACCAATGCTAAGAAATCTCAACTCATGCAGCTCCTGCCTTTACCAGGTGGGCGTACTCCAAGCTCTGGCTTTGGCTCCAGGTGCTGGGGTCCTCAGCCAGAGCCGCCATCTGCTGCTGCTGGAGGTTCATGGCGCCGAGCTGCTTCTTGTTCATCTTCTCCTTCAACTCCGCGGTGATGGCGTCGACGTCGACGTTGAGGTACCCGCGGAGGAACTTGCCCACGTCCGTGTTCTCGACGTTGCCGCGGATCTTCTGGGCCTCTTCGCCGCCGGTGCTGTAGACGTTTACGTCGAGCGCCGTGTGGCCGTGGGTGCTCCAGCCGACGTGGGCGCGGAGGCTGATCATGGCGGCGAAGGTCTGGACCGAGACCTCGGGGTGGTCGACGAGGGCCTGGAGCTCCTCCGGGTGGGCGTTGTCGATGCCGAGGCCGGGGACGACGAGCTCCTTGTTGACCCATTGCTTGAGCTCCTCCTTGTTCAGGGTCTTGCCGCTGGTGGAGGCGACTTTTTGCAGGAACTTTTTGGAGAGGAGCTCGGCGGAGGCGGAGGCCTTTGCGAGGGCCTTGGGGTACCAGTTGTAGACGGGGAGGTGCCCGGGCTCCTCTGTTTATCACGTAATTAGCTGGCTGCAAACAGATCGTTTAATGGGGGCAGGAGTAAGAGTTGAAAACTTACGCAGAGCAGTAGCGAGGCCACCAGTCTCGTGATCGCTGGTGGCCACCAAGAGGGACTCAGTCTTGCTGTCCTTGACAAAGTCGGAGACGAGCTTGAAAGCCTTGTCGTACTCGAGAACCTCCCGGACCTGGGCGGCGGGGTCGTTGATGTGGCCGGCGTGGTCGATCCTGCTGCCCTCGATCATGAGGAAGAAGCCCTTGTCGCTGTTCTCCGTGGCCTTTTCGAGGGCGCGCAGGGCCGTGGCGGCCATCTCGCTCAAGCTGGGGTAGACGTCGCTCATGTTGCGGCGGTCAATCTCAAAGGGGATATCGTAGTGGGCGAAAAGGCCGAGTTGGGGGAACGAGACCTTTTCGCCGCCCTCGAGGGCGTCAAAGCCCGCGCGGTCGCCGGCGTAGGTCCAGCCGAACTCGTCCTGGGCCTTCTTGACGACGTCGGTGTTGTCGAGTCTGCAGCTGCCGTCGGTGCCGTTGGGGAGGAAGTGGCAACGGCCGCCGCCGAGCATGATGTCGACGACGCGGCCGAGGGGACCGTCGCCGACCTCCTGGAGGGCGATGTCGTCGTTCATGGCACGGGTGAGGACGTGGCTGGCGAAGCAGGCGGGCGTGGCGTCCGTGATGTCGGTGGTGACGACGAGGCCGGTCATGAAGCCGGCGCGCTTGGCGGCCTCGAGGACGGTGCCGCAGGGCTCGTAGTCGGGGAGGACGGAGATTGCGCCGTTGTAGCTCTTTTTCCCGCAGGAGAAGGCGGTGGCGCCGGCGGCGCTGTCGGTGACGAGGGAGTTTGAGGAGCGGGTGCGGGAGGAGCCCCAGAAGTGCCTGTCGAGGGTGAGGACGTCGTCTTCGGGGAGGCCCTCGACGTGCTGGCGGAAGCTGCGCGTCAGGGAGAGGGAGGCCGGGCCCATGCCGTCCGAGACCATGAAGATGAGGTTGCGCTTGCCCTCAGTGGGCCTCGGGAACTTTGTCGAGCTCCGGTGCTGGGTCCATACTGCGAGGACGATGAGGGCTGCCGTGGCGAGGAGGGCCCAGGCGAAGAGGACGATTTCGCGGAGGCGCGAAGGGCCTGGGGGCGTCCGGGAGGAGTCGTCGCTGTCGTCGCCTTCGCGGCGGTCGTTGATGAGGGGCGTCCGTTCGGAAGACTGCGCGTTTGCGGTGTTAGCCATGATGTTTAACCCCCAGTTTGCGATTTAAGCTCCACGGTGATTTTGCGACCGCGGGGTGTCTTTTGTTTGATAGAAGTGAGTTTGGGAGAGAGTTTTGTTTTGTGCTTACCATCTTGGAAACGTCTCTGCTGTGTAGGTCCTCTATTGCGTGGCAAACGCAAGCAGGGAAGGGATTTCGCGTCGCTTCAGTTCCTGTCGCAGGTGTAGCTGGGATGGTTTGGAAGCTGACTCTTGTTCAGGTTGATAAGGTCAGGTACCTGAGGTAAGTGACGGGGGGCTGGGATCCTTTTTCAGATGACGGAACCGAGCCAGGACAGGCAGCCCCTCCACTATCGCTTCCAAGTTCCGTGCCCTGCAGCACGATAACACCCCGTCGATAACCTTGGCGACCTTGATGACCTTGGGGGATAGGTACCGGTAGCTTCAGTGGTGTCTGACTCTCGTCCACTTCGGGAAATGGGTCACGGTCTCATTCTTTCGTTGCAGGGCTTCACCGTCTCCTACCAATCCTACCAATCCCGACGCGTTCATTTGGAGCTTTGGGGGGCCGTTTGGAGTAACTTGAAGAGATGTGACTGGTTGGGTGGCTCCTCCCTCAGGGGACCCCACCACTCCGGGCATGTGCTGTGACATCACGCCCGCCTTGTCATCCCGTGGTCACAGGTGCCATCTCACCCCCAGAACCTTAGATACTGGTAAGCTCGAGTCGGACAGACACATTGGATAACTTTTGCGAGCAAAGGGATTGGTCCCGCGATGCGGTCTGGGCTGAGCCTCACACTAGGTAACCTCCCCTCCAAGGGGTCTCGCCCGCGCTGTCAGCTGGACTGCCTGTCGTTGGCTTAGACGCGATCAGGTGGGCGAGCATCTGCGGGGAAAGGTTGGGGGACACACACTCGTATCACTTATATGCCCCCCCTCCTCATGCTCGGAGTACCGAACATGGTTAGGATCAACTAGCTGCCGTTGGTCATGGTTCATATTTCATTGGATCGTAAATCTCGGTGGCCATGCAAAGGGGGTTTGTTTAATTCACATGGCATTTTCGTGGCTTGAACTTTTGGGCCCGATGAAGCCCTGTTGCGGGTGTCTCCGATCATCTTTCTCATTGTCTCGAGGGCACTGAGTATCGATCTAGATTTATAGACGCCATCTACTACTGTGATGTATGTCTTATTATCAGTTTGGCATGGTCCATCTCTGTTTTCCATTACAAGGGCTCTGCGATGTGTAGTAGAGGAAGCCGGAAGCCCTCTTCCAACCGAAGCTACTTTCGAAGCTAAGAAAGAGAAGGACCTACCTGGCAGCCTTCTGTTTGCAACATATCATCTGTGGTGTGCCGCAAACCTTTTGTGAAGAATACGGTAACAAAGCCTGATCACTACGGATTGCATATAAAGCCTCTGAGCTTAGTAAATTCCACTAAACCTTAATTTCTCAAGTTTCTCCCGAGCTCCCTTATCTTCTTACCCCTCAAGAAATCATGTCCCATGAGCGTTCCACCCATATTCTATCAAGTGCTAGATGGCGTCACTAAATATGTATACGTGCTTTTCGTAGGGGCAACAATGAACTATATAGTTAATCGATCCTATAATTCTCATATCCGTCTACCAATAATGTCGAAATAGAGCGGAAATTGGAGGAAGACTGCAGACGGATGTACTCACGCCTTCTAGTGGCTAGTGAGGTGCTAGGCTAAGGTTCAATATCGCATTGGATCCCGTCACTATGTGTGGTTAATTTCTCCTCGTCCCCACGTGTCAGCAGAATTCTATTCTTCTCTTTGATACCTCTTACCATCTAATCCTCCAAGAGCCGTAACACATCAAGAGGTCTGCTGCTTGACAGACGAATACGCTCTTTGAGATCCCTTTGAGAGTGCCCGAATCATGCCGCCCTGGGCAAGACAATACTCGGCCTAATTTTCAATGCAAAGTTTCAGTCCAGATGGCCTCGACCAGACTGCGGCAGTATCATTAGACGACCAGCAGAGGTCTAGAGGCATGAAGCAAACGACTACGAAGTCTTCTCGTCAACTAACTAAAGCAGACATACGAGTCAGAGTTGAAGAAAAGATCAGACGGTTCTTTGTTGAACTACTACATGTATCGTGGCCCTTACCAATGAGGCATAGGGACCTACCTTCTTAAAGCCCAGTCTTGCAACTTCTTACTTTCCTGCTGCATAGCTGGTTGCCAGGCTGGACTCTGTATAGGCCATTGCCTTAGGAAGACTTGACCTGGCAATCAAGCAGAAGGTCATTTCTGATTAATTCACTGCAATTCGAGTATTCCTAACGGTTCTGACAAAGAAAAATTTATCCTCGTCTATCTCATCATTCACTTATCTGTGTTGAGATATTCTTTCATATACCTACCGTCACCGATTCACTTTACACAAGGCCCTCTGGATTATAGATATAAAAGGACGTTCAGGCCGACCACGCAGAAGAAACAATGCAAAGCACATTACATGGAGCATTCATCATCACCTAAAGACACTACCCACCATCTTCACGCCACCATGAACACGAATCCCAGCGCTCCGACAATGGCAATGACTGCTTCCCAGCCAGTCCTCCACATCGGAGTTTGGGACATCATTCTCGAGCAGCTTGCTGCGGCAGGGGACCATGGTACTCTGGCAAATTGCACTCGTCTCAATAAGGAATTGTCTGAGCTAGCTTCTCGACACCTCTACAGGTAAGCAGAGACCCCTAGAAAGAATGATGCCCACCCTCCCCATAAGAGAGTTGTTCATTAACCAGATAGCAGTGCTCAGTTTTGTCCTCCCCGGTACTGGGGAGGAGATGCTACAGAAAGCCTTTGGGCGAATCTGTCTGCCGACATGTTGGTTTGCGAGCAGCATCCAGACGCGAACGAGGCCTTCCCTGCTACTTACCACCCATACCTGCTCTATATACGCCATCTGAACCTTCTCAACTTCCTCTCAGTCCACGGGTGCAGACCGTTCCCCGACCAGCGGTTCGTTGCTGTGAACCGTGAGGCTGCCCAGCAGAGCCCCGGGTCCACGACCGATCAAAGCATTGTTGCGGCGAATCATATCACTGCCGAAACCCCGAGCATCGGATGCTTTGGAGAGCGCCTCCTCCGTCAGCTGGCTCAAATGTCCAAAGAGAAAGGCTTGAACGTCATGCTCAAGAGCTTGACGGCAGACTGGTGGCAGAATGTCCGGCCAGTCATTCATACCTTTAGGAAGCTGGAGAGTCTCTCTCTTGTATTTCTCGATGACTTGGACAAGTCTGCAGCCGAGTTGATCACGACACACCTACCAATGTTGACAAGCATTTCAGTAGTACAGGCTGATGACTCTGAAATTGCTTCCTTTGCAGACTTCGTCTCGAGGCTGCCGCCGACTCAGCTGCGTTCGTTCGACTGCTCCCTTAATCAGACGCAGATGCCACTTTTGGAAGCAATTGCGCAGCACACTTGTCTCCAGGAACTAACTTTGCAATTCGTCGTTCGCCCTCCTTTCGAGTTGTATCGACTGTTTGAGCTGACAAACTTGACATCACTGACCCTCAGCTTCAACTACCAGCCGTCGCCTCAAAATCGGTCGAGATTCAAGAGATGGGCAGAAGAGAACCGCGGCAAGGTTACAGACTGGCTCAAATCTTGCCAGGCTCTTCGCAGTCTCCATCTCTTCCGCTTTCCAGACCTCGTTCCCGCGGTTGCTGATGCTCTTCCCCACCTACATCTACGCAGATTACGCATTTTCTCGACGGGATGCTACGAAGGCTTCTATGAAGCACTTGAGACGCAGCAGCTTGAGTATCTCTTCTTAGCCGAGTGCTCCGAAGAAGGCCTCGTCAACCCTACTTCAAGGTCGAAAGAACGAGGCGAGCTCGTCATGAAAGCAGTGACAGCCATGCCGTGTCTTCGGGATCTGCGACTGCACACTTACTCCACCCTGGACTGTAGTGCGCTCGATAACATTGCCAAACATGTACCGAAGCTCCAAACTCTATCTTTCGTCTGCCGAAAGGGTGAGAACTCGACCTGGACACTCCGCGCTCTCGAAGGCTTCAAACACCTCACCAGCCTAACAGTCCTGGGCCACACCAAGTTCTCGTCGCGCGAGATACTCTACTGGGTCAGCTACATGCATTGCCATCAGCGCCCCGGCGGCTTCAGGCTGAGCCTTCCTGCACAAGATCCGCGGTCTTGGTACCGAGGAATGAGAGCCCCGGCCCAGATAGTGCCTTCCACCAACGACCCGGCGACGGCAACTCTGAAGCAGGTGTTAAAGTGGCTGGCCGTATTTGGAAGGGAGCGCCACTGGCGGGGCAATGACTATGAGGCTGAAGAAGAACGCATGTTTGTACAGCTTTGGGGCGATGCCAGGGGCCCGGCTGAGGGGCTGCAGCTTCTCAGAGGCTCAGGGCCGTATGCGCCGTGGTCAGGCTTGATGCATAGCACAGGTCTGCCTATAGCTTGGAGGAGCTTTATCTAAGTCACAGCCAAAGTAATGTTTGTAGCTGGGGCAAGTTGGTAGTTGAATAAATCATAGGTTATAGTAACTTCCGAGATGAAGTATGAGGTGAGGTTGAGTCAAGACGCAGGAGCTATTAGGTGTCGCACCGCACCTGCTTTGAATATCTGGGGGAAGTTACGTTCTTGGAGCCGCCCCGCAGTACCTAGGTACCCCACGACCACTTTACGCGCCCTGACGCGCTTCGCCACCCCTCTCACATTGAAGCAAACCTAACGCAGTGAACTAACATCGACCTTCCTGACATCCGTGACTCAAGCGTCAATGATATCATAACTTCAATCTAGACTTCTGCGGTGCCACGATGGCTGTCCTCAACTTCACGCTCAGCGAGGACGCTGTCGCCGCCTTCCGCGACGTCCTCGCCTGCCTGAACAAGTTCAGCGATGAGGTCTCCCTCGAAGCCAAGAAGGACAAGGTCAGTCACCTCTTGTCCAGGCACTGCAAACGACGAACCCCTATATTGACCGAATTGTATGTAGTTGGTCCTCACAGCACTCAATGCGTCCAAGTCGGCATACTCCTGCTTCACATTCACCACCAACCGCTTCTGCTCCCGCTACCAGTTCGAGGGAAGTGCGCAGTATCGGGACAAGTTCTACTGCACGCTGTATACCAGGGTATGATTCTCACTGAAATTCCGACATGGATATTGAGAGCCTCATTGTTCTGCAGTCACTCGCCTCCATCTTCCGAAGCCGTGCAGGTGGCGATCCTCAGCGTGATCGCGAGAAGGAGAGCACGATCGATCGTTGTGATGTCGCTATTGAAGATGGACCAGGTGTCAAGAGTCGCTTCATCGTGAAACTAGTTTTCCGGAATGGTATGCTTATTAGTCTGGATCAGCACGACACAGAAGTTACTGATCAGTGATTCAGGTGTCACATCTACACATCGACTGCCGTTCGAGGTTGCGGTGCCAGTGCACGCCAAATTCGACCGAGATGAAGCGATCCACCATTGGACCATCCCGTCGCGGACTTTGAGGCAACTGATGGAACACTTTGGTCCTGGAGTCGAGCTTCTGGATATTAACTCAGATGGCGAACATGTTAACTTCACATGCTACACAGAGAAGACGACAAATGGAGACGGTTGGCTTCAAACCTCCTTGGATATGTCTATCAATACTAACATCAGATGCAGAGGTTCTCAAGAAACCACTACACACATCAATCGCCATTGAGGTCGACGAATTCGAAGACATAGAAGTCGAGGATAAGCTCCGCATCGTTATCAGCGTCAAGGACTTCCGCGCCATTATCCAGCATGCCGGCATCACCGGCAACCACATCTCCGCTCGGTACTCTAACCCGGCGCGTCCGATATTGTTAACCTATCCCGGCGACGGCATAAGCTGCGAGTTCCTGCTCATGACAGTCGGCGAGAAGGGTAACCCGGCCCAGAAGACGAAGAAGGGAAAGGCGAAAGGCGCCCAGGCGGCTCCGCAGCAACAGCTCGAAGCCGCGTCTAGAAGACAGAGTGCTGCGCCGTCTGAGACCCCGCAGCCCCAGGAGCAGCCAACCGCGCAGAGTATGCCGCCTCCAGCGCTGTCGGCGTCTGCATCACGGAGTGGAATCGCCGCGCGCACTTCACTATTCGATTTGCGGCCATCACAGCGGCCGCCTCCCGCAACCATGGCTTCTCAAAGCCTGTTCGTGGACGACCAAGACGAACAGGCGTGGGAGCCCGTCAGGTATGAAGAGGACGATGATCCAGACTTGGATGCAAGACTTGGGTGGGATCATAGTAATCAGCCCGTAAGTCTCCCTGGCCCGATCGATCCACCTCGGACCATGATCTTAACCCACATGTCTCTTCAGACCGCTTCTTCCATGCACCTTGACCGCAAAGTCGCTGAAGAGAATGCCGAATTCGACCCGACTCCAGCCAGTAGCGCAGGATTGGAGCCCACACAGCGCCTTGACGATGTTAGGCGCCTGGGCTTATTCTACCAAGGCCCATGATCTATTTGGATGGATGGCAAGGTGATGAAGTTGCTGCCGTTCCGACTTCGAATAGCCCTTAGCCGGCAGAACCATGTTTGCACCAATTCCTCAACCGGTGATAATAGTCACCCAGCTAGTCGCGCAGCCCGCGCCGATACCCGCAATTTTAGAACCAGGAGGAATAAATCTTGACGACGCAATGACATTCCACCGTCCCTTAACATCGTTGTTCTCAACTTGCGGGCCGCAGTTGCCGTGCTCTCCCCATCCCCAAGCGAGCACATCGCCCGTCTCCGTGAAAGCAATGACATGTTCGCTCCCAATGGCAATCTTTGATAACTTTGGTAGGCTCCGCGGCGGGAGCTGACCGTGATCGTCTCTTCCCCACGCCATAAGCTCGCCGTCCTTCTTCAGGACATAAACATTACCCCAGCTTGCACCGACATCTGTCCACTCTGGTACGGAACTGGGCGCAGAGGACTTGATGTTCCATTTATCAGACCCCAGAACGAGCAGCTCTCCTGAATCTGGGGCTCCAAACAGACAAGTAAAGTCCTTTCCGCAGACAGCTCTTTCAACCTTGAAGTTGACGCCCTCTATCTTCCGCGGCGAGTAGACGACCGCCTCTGGGGATCCGCCTTGACCCTTGCGCACGTTGCCCCAGGCGTAGGCGTCGCCGTTGCTCAGGACCGCCACGGCATGACCCATACACGCCGCCAGATCCACGATCTCGTTCCCGGCCGGCGGGAATTCCTTGAAGAGGGTGGCGGACGGGGAACGGACGAGGAGCTCTCCGAGGCCCAGCTCGCCCTTTTGTCCGGCGCCGAAGCTGTAGATCTTGGTCTTCTTCCCCTCGGCGTCTCGTTCGACGACGAAGGAGGCTTCCCAGGTTGCGGCGATCAGGGCTGGTGTGGCGGGGGCGGCATTTGCTTCGTCCTTGCTGAGCTGGACTGGTTGGAATACTGGCTCGTCGGTCTCTGCTGCTGAGGTGAGGCCGCATGCGCCGCTGGTCGCGTCTCCGCTCCACCAGAGTTGTCCTGATTTTGTGAGGAGAAGGGTGTGGTTTCCGCCTGCTGCGATTTTGACTACTGGCGATTCGGTGTCCTCTGGGAAGAAGACGGCTTGCTTGGGGACGGAGACGTCTTCTTTGTGGCCGATACCGAGCTGGCCTGATCCATTTGATCCAACGGCGAAGAGAACAGACATCTTGACAAGTGTTTCGCCTTGATTCTATACTTTGGTCGGCAGCTGATGGAGCTTTCTCTCGACGAGGGGAGCTTCCGAAGCTTGGTAGCTTCTGCGGACCCCCGCGAAATATCGCAGTAAGCAGATTCGTCCCCCACCAGTGTCTCGTATGCATCTATGCAGTTCCATGGAGGGGACCTTTCGGCCAATCTTTCCCGCGTCTCCGCCAATGGATCCGCGCTGCAAAGATCAAAAAGCGGAACTTGAGCCGCCAACTTTTTTTTCTTCTCACCATTCGCATCACAACACTCTCGCAGAACAGTGCTCGCAGAACAGTGCTCGCAGACAGCGTCGCGACTCGATTTTCTCGATTCCGCGCCAGAGTTGTTCGTCGCTTGTGAGGATGTGAGAGGTTTTCACTTGGAGTAGAACCTTTTGCAGCCCTCTCCAACAGAAGCTCAATTTCACCCTGCGCAACGAAAATTTTCTAACCTGACAGGAAAAGCGCACACCGCACATAGCACGATGGCATCTTCGTCGGCTCTCCCTTCACCTCAGGCCGCCGCCGGCATCCCCGCTGGAATGGAAAATTTCGTGGTCGGCCTGATTGGTATGGGAGACATGGGGAAGATGTACGCGCAGAGGCTTTCTGCCGCTGGATGGAAGTGAGTAATTGTTCATTCCCCAGCTGGGCCTCTGCGCTATTCGATTCTTCTGGTAAGCTTCTTCTCCCGTTCTGTTCACACCCTCCTTCAACACCACCACATCCCCCCCATTGGTCATGATGACAAGAGCGCATTTGGCTAGAGTATCGCCCAAGGCATTCTCGGGTAACCATTCTGGCCCCGGGTACCGCCGAGGGCCTTCCATGATGATACACCTAGCTACCTTAAACTTTACCTGTCTGAACCTTCACAATCATTCTGTTCTTGATTACGATTCGCATCTTCGAAGAACAGCGAAGCTAACAAAGCTTTTCAGGAATCTGCAATAGCTTCATGCCCTATCTTTGCTATACCAACCGCTCAGCTTATGCTGTGTCGGAGAAAAAAGAGGAGGATCTGCAAGAAGGGGGAAGATGGCTGACGTCCCGGGTGTCGGCAGGATCATGGCTTGTGACCAGGAAGAAAAGTACGAGAGCCTGAAAGAAGAGTTCTCTGGAAATGTATGGGAATGCCACCAGACCTGCCCTGCCGCACGCTTTCGAGCGTGGGAACCCCTCGGTGTTCATCCCCGGCTGAGCAGTTTTTTGATAGAACAATGTACAAATCTGCCGAAATGGCCACTACGTCTCCCGCGCCAGCGACTACATCATTTACAGCGTTGAAGCTGCCGCCATTGACCGCGTGATCGCCCAGTATGGACCATGTATGACCTTTCCCCTGTTGCCAATGCCATCTCTGCCCATGCTTCCCAGCCTATTCTCAACCCACGAGAGGCTCATCATAGTCTAACATGATCCTCCAGCAACCAAGCTCGGCGCCATCGTCGGCGGCCAAACCTCCTGCAAGGCCCCCGAGATCACAGCTTTTGAGCGCCACCTCCCCACCGACGTCGAAATCGTCTCCTGCCACTCCCTCCACGGCCCCAACGTCGACCCGCGCAACCAACCCCTCGTCATCATCGGCCACCGCGCGTCCGCCGCCGCCGTCGCGAGAGTCGAGACCGTCCTCTCCGTCCTCGGCTCCAAGCACGTCCACCTCACGGCCCTCGAGCACGACCGCATCACCGCCGACACCCAGGCCGTCACCCACGCCGCCTTCCTCTCCATGGGCAAGGCCTGGCACGCAAACACCCAGTTCCCCTGGGAAATGTCGCGCTACGTCGGCGGCGTGGAGAACGTCAAGATCAACATCATGCTGCGCATCTACTCCCAAAAGTGGCACGTCTACGCCGGCCTCGCGATCCTCAACCCCGAGGCCCGCAAGCAAATCTCCCAGTTCGCCCGCTCCGTCACGGACCTGTACAAGCTCATGCTCGAAGGCAACGCCGCCGCCCTCCGCGCCCGCGTTCTCGCCGCAAAGGAAAAGGTGTTCGGCCACGACGGCAGCCCCAAGTGGGCGGACCGGCCCCTCCTGAACCCGGACCTCCTCGAGCGCTTCTCCCTCGGGAAGAAGGAGGACCAGACGGAGCCGCAGCGCGCAAACAACCACCTCAGCTTGCTGGCCATGGTGGACTGCTGGGCGCAGCTGGGCATCGTTCCCTACGACCACATGATTTGCTCGACGCCGCTGTTCCGGCTGTGGCTCGGCGTCGCGGAGCACCTCTTCCGCAGCCGCGAGCTGCTCGACGACGCGCTGCGGACGGCGGTGGAGGACCACACGTACCGCTCCGACGATCTCGAGTTCACGTTCGCGGCGAGGGGGTGGGCCGAATGCGTTTCGCTGGGTCACTTTGAGACGTGGAAGAACCGGTTCGAGACGACGCAGCAGTTCTTCCAGCCTCGGTTCAAGGATGCCGTGGCTGTGGGCAATGCCATGATGAAGGCTGTGTTGGAGAGCACCAAGGATTGATGATGGACGTTTTGTGTGTGATGGGAATGGGGATAGAGCTCATGAAATGTAGTTATGATGGATGATTTCCATTGATTGACAGAGCCTTGGCAGGCTTCCCTTGTCCTACACTTGTCTACTGCCCACCTCTCTATTGGGGTATATGCCGTACCAGAAAGCGATGTCGGCAATTCCTATTCGCAATCGGGGGAATCCTTTTGTGCAATCCAACGCCTTAGCAACCAACACCGCTGGTCCCAACACCGCTACTCTTCTTGCCATGTCGACTTCTCAAACCTGAGTGATCAAGTCCGCCTCATGCATCTCCACGCTCTCTTCCAAGACGGCCACACCGTTCGGGACAGTGAGAGGCTGTGCGAGGAAGTTTCTCTGCTCTTTCTCCTGTTCCTCCATCTCTGTGGCGTCGTCGCCAAGATGGCCACCTACACCGGCCGGAAGACTCGCGGTTGAAGCCGTTGTGTCCAGCCAAGAAGAGTCGTCTTCATTAGGTTCGGAAGGGTTCTCGACTTCGGCGGCCAGGTTTGGGGTCCCTGGGGATCGAGGCAGATTGGCGTGTGGGAGAAGAAGAGTGTAAGGGGTCACTGGGCGCGGTTCGAGTGACGCAGGGCCGCTTATATTGAGCTGCTCTGCCAAGTGGCTCGCTAGCTGAGCATCGCTGATGTACCTGCTCGTGTCTGAAGATGATGCAGAGGATCCGGTTGAGGCCTGGAAAGCATGTTAAAAATTACCCATAAAACGATGAAATGTATAATCCTCGCCGGCAGCATGGAAGGTTTACTCACCCTTGAGGATGATCGAAGACCAATGTTGGCAAGCAATTGAGAATTGCACACGGGTCTCTCGCGAAAGAGGTGGAAGCCGTAGCCGGTGGCGGCGGTGGCAGGAATGTTGCCCTTAGCAATACCATCCAGACTAATATACGCTCGGTCTGCTCCGCCGGGGCGACAGTACGAGCAGATCTTGTACTGACACTCATCTTTGGACTTGGGAACCCAAGGAGTGGACATGTTGGTCTCTAGAATGTCGTCCAGGTCGTAGGTACTGGACGAATGCGTGCCATCGTGGCCTTGATTAGGTGCCGGCTTCGCTCGGAAAGATTCTCGACGAAGGACATCTCCAAGCTAGATGGTAGTAAGCGCATCAGAATATGCAAAGGTCTTTTGTGTTGGATTAACGTACGTGCTTTCGTTGATTAAAGATGGTCATGAGTTGATCGGTCGTGTAGGTGGTCGTGATATCCCTCGGGGGCATCTCCTCGAGAAAGCTGGCAGCATTCCCTGATCGTTTCTCCGGACCGCGGTTCCTTGGCTGAACAGCAGTAATCAGAAGCCTACCGATATCATCAAAGGTGACCTGGAATATCAATACCATGTTCGTATCGCGATGCTGCATAAGCTAACCTCTTCGCCATTGGAGATGCAATTGCGCAAGATCTCCTCCTGGTCCTGGCTACACCGGTACAGCCATCCGAAGTGCCCGTAGTTACCGCAAGAATCGCATCTGAGGATGTAGCTGTACACTCGAACCATTGTGACGTGTGTGCAAGCGCCGTAGGGACGCGCCTGGCGGTGTGTCGGCTGAGGTGCCATACTGATATCGGACAGCCCAAGTTGCGGCACACAATTCTCGAGGAGATAGCCGCCCGATGATGGGGATGGGTGTTTAGATGATACTCCTAGGTGCGGTTGTCATGGAGTAAGGTGTTGTAGGAGGTGACCTTGGCTCAGTACTGTATGTTGAGGAACTTGGAGGAGGGAGCCCATATGGGTGATTGCACTTGAGAGGAAGGTACAGCTGTTGCTCATGGTGGGAAGGAGCGGCCGACTCACTCATCTTTCATCCCGACCTTCACCATGAGATGCATGAGATGAAAGAAGAGCCAATGAAAACCTAATCCTGAGTGTTCGATGAGGTATATACAAGGCAGGGCAGACACTTCACTCCAGGTTCTACTGCTTCATTATCAAAAGTGCCTAAGGTCGTGTCTAGAGGACTGTGTTTCTGAGGCCCTGACTTTTATGAAGCCCATGTATATCTTGAGATGTGAGACGATCGTGTTGTCTTGCCTTATTACATACTCCTTTAAATCGTAGTCCGGTTGTTCAATGAGCTTTGTTAAAGCTGTTCTTCGATTAGGTGGAACATATTTAGTTGTCCAGTGTCTTGGATGACAAAGACATCAAATTGAACAACGGTCAGCAAGCGCCACATATTTTCGTTTCGAATAATTCTTTTCTCTGTTTGATACCTCTCACAACTTGCAAAATGGAAACGTCAAGATGAAGTTTGTTTGAGATCAATGACATCGTGAGTTTAACGCCGACATTCTGGCACATGGTTGAGGATGAAGATACGACACACACGTCGACTAAATGAGTACGCGGTGAACAGACCTATGATTGAAATAGTTGATCGGCATTCTCACCGTACTTTTCAGACATTGGATGCGTTGGTGCATACTTATGACCTTGCCGATTCCATGTCGATCATGAGCACATGTGATCAAGAACGGCGTCTGATTGTACGGGATTCAGTTGACAGTCGTGAAACGGCCTCTACGTCTATATACCCAAAGTCCGTCTTTAATTGAGGTCAGCAGGGCCTGAGAGGTAAAGCGTGGTTGAATAGACACAACTTGACATGGCTCATCTGATAATCCCGGCACAGACCGAGAATATTTGACAAAACCTAGTTACCGTATGCTGTGAACACACTGTATCCAGACTCTGAGATGCAAAGCCTGGCATCGGGACTAGAAGAAAAGTCGTTCGGATGACCTTCGGACGACCCGGGAGGGCAGAGCATGAAGCTTCGTCATTAAACTAGCTGAAGTGAGGGGACGACTGGAAGGGGTCAACCCGGCATTGCGGTAAGATGGTCGGCAGGTGCAGACAAACAAACAAAGTTGGACTTCCTCCCACTCGGTTGGGATAAGGTAATAGCGTAAAGTGCGTGAGTGCATGAGAGGGGATGAGCTGGCGTGCGACGTGCATCTGTCTATTCGGTGCCGCCCGTCATTCTCTGGGCCGCTGCCGTCCCTCCCCCTCCTCTCAAGACTCATGGACCAAGGTGAAAAAAAAACAGACCTCGGGCCATTGGTAGAGAGCAGCCAATGAGACGCTCTTCTTGAATACACCCCTGCAGCTCCGTCCAGCTCTAGCCCGTCATGCAACATCCCGGTTGTGTTGCGCGGAGGAGGACGAATGAGCATTTCGCAGCAGCGAAGCTCTGGTCCAGCGTCGGCACCACCCCCATCAATTCAGTCAATTGCCCCCCCCAGCCCGAGGCCTGTCTTGTCGTGCTTGTCTGCCTCTAGTGGAAGTCTGCCGTGCCCAGGTCGTATCCGTACGCCCCCAAGGCCCCAGCTGTGTCAACCTCCTCGACCACACATCAACAACCCACTCCGTCGCTCCCTCTCTCTCTCTCTATCGCTGCCGCCCAACCTCCCCTCCTAACGACGGCTCAGACGCTCTCTTCACGTCCTGCGATCTCGAAGTAAAGTTGGTACGTTGCCCTGATTTCTTCACCTCTTCTCGTCTTGTTCGTGTCAATTGTGAATTGAGGGTCTCCGGCGAGCCAAGCTCCAGTCGCGCGCTATCAACCAATCGCACCTGGGTCGGTCGGCAGAGCGACGCGGTAAACAAATCATTGGCCCCCCGGCGCTGCCACTCCCTCCCACTCTGGAGCCGCAATTCAATTGACGAACACCCCCCGGAAAACCCATCGCAAACACCCTCAAAGACGGGCCTCCCAAGCTGATACTCCTCCCTTCACCGCAGTTTTCCCCGCGATTTTCTCGATTACGTTAGCGATACCCCGGAAACTTTAGCCCACCATGTCGGTCAAGTTCGAGAAGGACACGATAAAGAAGGGTGTCGAGGAGGTCAAGAAGGGCCTCATCGGTGAACCTCTGCCCGGTACCAGCGGCAAGCACCCCATCTCCGAGGCCATCGGCACCGCCATCACCGGCGGCAAGAAAAATGCGGGATCCAAGGGCTATCTTGCGGTTCGTCTTCCAATACCTCCACTCCGATCCGTCATGTGTGGGCGATACGATAGAATCGCTCGCTGCACCATGGTCGGGAGTATGATGATGCCAGGCCGAAATGCTGACGCTGTGCAACCCAGGCCTATATCAAGCAGCTCGAGCAGAACCCTCTCCGCACCAAGATGCTCACTGCTGGAACTCTCGCCGGTGCTCAGGAGCTGATCGCATCTTTCCTCGCCAAGGACCGCAACAAGCATGGCAACTACTTCACCTCGCGTGTGCCCAAGATGGCCGCCTACGGCGCCCTCGTCAGCGCGCCCCTCGGCCACTTCCTCATCTGGGCCCTGCAGAAGACCTTTGCTGGCCGCACCAGCTTGCGCGCCAAGATCCTGCAGATTATCGTCAGCAACTTGATTGTGAGTGGCATGACTTAGCGAGAGCCGTCTATGATGTGCGTGCTGACCCATCATCCGCAGATTGCGCCCATCCAAAACTCCATCTACCTCACCGCGATGGCCCTCATTGCTGGTGCCAAGACATACCACCAGGTCCGCGCGACCGTCAAGGTTGGCTTCTGGAAGGTCATGAAGGTCAGCTGGGTCACTTCCCCGCTGTGCTTGGCCTTCGCTCAGAAGTTCCTCCCTGATCAACTCTGGGTGCCCTTCTTCAACCTGGTGTCCTTCATCATCGGCACCTACATCAACACCATCACCAAGAAGAAGCGTCTTGCTGCCCTGCGCAAGAAGCACTTCGGTGACGGCCGCTCTCCCTCCATGGGAGGCCGCCCTGACGACTACCCCGGCCCCAAGGACTACCCTGGCCCGATGGGAGGTCCTAACCCCCCTTACTAAACGACTCTTCTATGGTGAGATGGTTGAGAGATGACAGCAAAATAACGCCCAGTTGATGAGAAATCTGGTAACATCTAATACGAAAACGATATCAGTCCTTTGGGGCGGATTTCTGGAGTTGAGGGGCGTGGAGGCAGTGTGAAGATACGCGAGCTGGGAGCAAGCGGCTTGGATGGACCGCAAACGACCGCCGAATATCCCTGTACAATTTGCTTGCTTCAAATGTTGCTATCATGTTATATGTCCCATGTGTCGGTAGATAGGTTCAAATGCGCTTGGATTTTTTTAAGTTCAGTATGCTTGATATTTCTGTCCAAGGCCCATCTTCCCAGGTCTATCTATATGCTGCATGATACGAGTTGACCCTATACCGCACGTTCTAGTGATGGATTTTCTTACTTTGTAAGGGTCTCTGAATATAATCGCCCATGACTGACTTGCGTATTCGAGACGTATACTTGCTTGGGATCAACCTGAGGTACCCTTTCATCTGATACCTCGATGCCACAACAGAAGCCCTCATAGGTCCCGCCAATTCCGTTCCTGTCACCAGCCAGGAGGCGCCCGTCTAGGTCGACGGGTCAGGTCAAACTGGCTGGGTGGTGGAGTGGTTTAAGGTCAACTTTCAATTATACGCCAACCAGCCTACTCGACGACAGGCTTAGCGAGTACCCGAGTTCGAATCCCAGCATGAGCACCAAGAGATGTAGCCACACCGGTGGTGAACTCTTTTTTTTTCTTGGTCCTTTCTACCTCCATAGGTAGTGGGCACCGCCTGTGTTGCTCATACTGGGAGTAAATCGTTTTTCTGTAGGTGTATGTGGTCCTTTACCGAGTGATCGCCTTCATCACTCCCCTGCCGTCGCCTCGCCGGTGTCGACCATGAAGCCAGGACTCCAGTACTCCCATTCGGGACACTGCTTGTCCACCCACAACATACCCTCGCCAAGAAGATCCTCCAAGGCAGTCTGGGCTCGTGCCCTCGGCCATCGAAGATTAACCATCAGCATCGAGATGCTCACGTATCCCAGCACTTGCACGGCCTCCAACACCGCGCTCTGGTCTGTGTTGAGCTCCTTGGGTACACTCCGGATGTACGACTTGCTTCCGACCTTGATGACGCTATGCGAGCTACCCAACGGCTTCAAAGTACCGACAGCTCTAAGCACGTCGTCCTCCGTCACCTCGCTCGCGCCCTCCATACGTCCCTTCATGATGCGCTCCCGAACCTCGCGGACGCCAATCAAGCCGCCGTTCTCGTCGCGCGTCGCGCTGCACACCTCCACCACGCGCACCGCCAGCTCGAAGTAGAAGTCGTTGACTGAACGGCCGAGCAGCTGCGCCCATATCGACGACGACCCACCCCCGCCCGAGGACGATGAAGAGGACGCGAGCGGGTCGACGCCGATGGCGGAGCACATGCGGGCGAACTGGGCGCGGAAGGACGGATTGGATCGGATATCTTTTGCATGGGTCTGCGCGAACTGTTGGAGTAGGGAGCGAAAGACGGAGAGCTGGGTCTCGAGGGCTTGGGAGTTGGTGGTGCGGAGGTTAGAGCCGTGGGATGCGTATTGCGCCGAGGTGATGCGGGAGCGGTCGAAGGCCGCGAGGCCGACGCCTTTGCGCGACATTCTTTGCGGTCTTCGTTTATCGGATCGTGGTATGTAGGATGATCGTGTGTGTAGGAAGGTGGTGGAGGATGACGTTCAGCCGGGGATATGTCACCGTAGTCGCGGGAGAAGGTGGAGGTTGCGAATAGAGGGGCGTTCGGTGGTCTTGGTGGATGCCCGTATCGGAAGGTTATCGAAGCCGATGAGTGACATACGGTTTCCCGGCGGACACTCCGCTCTCAATCTCGAAAGATGACATAATCTTTGAGAGATGGCCATAGATTCTCCACTGATCCGTTTTTATCCCAAAGCTGCGGCGGCCCACTAAGCGACTTCCACAATCGAGAACCAATTCCACATCACGTGCTTCACCCTCCCCACCCGGAGAATCACCGGCCGCACCAGCCACTAAACGGGCCCAAACCCCCAGCAGAAAGGGCACAACCCTTACTGAAATCCAACTCGCAAAATTTCGGTCTGAGTCTGTCTCCCAAAGCACCATAGACGCCTGCCTCACGATCGCGTTGCGAATTTCCTAACAGTCCCCCTCCATCCCGCAGCAACCATGTCGTCCACCCAGACCGTCCAGTGCTTCGGCAAGAAGAGAACCGCCACCGCCGTTGCCCAGTGCAAGGTACGATACCGATAAATTCCTCCTCCCCGAAGAAAGAGAGCAGCTCCGATTCAAGATTTGGCGAAGGAGGGGCGAAGGTGTTTTGGATACTTGGAAAATATGGAAGGCTGACTGTGTTTTGCGATTAGGCTGGCAAGGGCCTCGTCAAGGTCAACGGCAAGCCCCTCTCGCTTGTCCAGCCTGAGATCCTCCGCTTCAAGGTACGATTATTTATTCCGCGCGAAACTCCGTTGAATGAAGACTTGGTCGGCAAGAGATGGAAATCTGGAATGGGACCCACGGCATTGAGGAAAGGGACGCATTGGGTGAGCGCTACGATGCTACGCTCTGTCTACGGATGCGAAGAGTTGTGCGCAACGTAGCACTCACCCTTTGCTTGCCAATTCGCGAAATCGGTTCGAGGAAGAGAAGCGACCAGGGTCCACACAAGAAACCCGCATATCAAAACCTCCCAAGCCCGGACGAGCAAGAAACTAACCCGTCTTCCGCACCACAGGTCTACGAGCCCCTCCTCGTCCTTGGCCTCGACAAGTTCGCCAACATCGACATCCGCGTCCGCGTCACTGGTGGTGGTCACACTTCCCAGATCTACGCCATCCGTCAGGCCATTGCCAAGTCCGTCGTTGCCTACTACCAGAAGTTCGTCGACGAGCACTCCAAGAACATGCTCAAGCAGGCCCTCGTCCAGTTCGACCGTACCCTCCTCGTCGCCGACAACCGCCGGTGCGAGCCCAAGAAGTTCGGTGGTAAGGGTGCCCGCTCCAGATTCCAGAAGTCTTACCGTTAAACGGTACTTTTTCTGTTTTCTGGGAGAAGGTGTGGAACAGCCTGGGGAATTTGGGGGAATTTATGCGGCAGTCAACAAAAAACCTTGGGAAGGAAACTGTCGTGGTTTCCCGGGTCCGGTCAGCTTTTGGTGTTTCCCGCGAAAAATTTGGCAGTTACTGTTTTACGGGGGAGTCAAACGTGGATCAAAAGGATCTGGTCCCGTTCCTCTCCCTTTCTCGTTCGTCTTTTAAAGGAAACAAAGACTTTCGAAAAGGGATGGACGGCCAGAGAAAGCATTCGATTTCCGGGTCGATGCACATTGCATGGCATGCCTCGCGGTATCGCTGCTTGGCTTGGTTTGTAAAGGGTCAGGCAGGCAAATGAAACATTGAAACTTCATGACACGGCGTTCTGGGCTCGAGCTATGCGTGTGCCGTGTTTCTTTTTAATTTCACTTCCTTCTAATCCTTCTTTCGTTGCACTCTATGGTATGGCTTGGCACGGTTATGTCCCCCACGCAAGGGGGTATGATGGTTCTCCAACGATGACATCGAACAACATCCCCGCGTGTCCATTGTTTCTCTCCATGCCGGTCTTGTCTATGGTGTTTTACGCTCCTCGAGAGCTCGCGGGCCATCTTCCTCAGAAGGTTCTTCCTCGTACTCGTTCGCAATGAGTCGCAAAGTGTCCTCTTACCACACACCCTTTATTGCGTGTATCTCACCCTACATCGGTGAACTAAAGAGTGCTTCTGGAGAAGTCTTTACCTATACGCGAGGTATACCCACTTTGACCCGACCTCCTGCCTTGATGCCATTCGATATCTAGCACGTGTTCCTAAGCCCGGCGGCTCTCTCTTATCACTTCTCCAACATCCACTGGATGGCTAGTCACAGTCCTCCGTAGGCGGGGCTTCGAAGTCTGGTACAAAGCGAAGCTCATGTCTGCCTACCTGTTCGCCTTCAGCCACGGCTCGGTCTTCGGGCCCTTCGCGTGAGTCAGCTCCTTACTCATGTCATCGCTTCAGTCACGGCCGTCCGACAAGGTTGCACAAGCACTGGTCGCACATACACCTTCGCCCACAATAAGGGACGAGTGGGCAGTCACCAGTCACACAAAAATGACATCTCCTGAAGTTCTCGTCATCAGGAACAAAAGTAAATGATCAGTGGGAGGCTTGAACTCCCGGCCTTGGCATCACTCGACATCTCTGATGAGATATTAGTACCACGCTCTAACCAACTGAGCTAACCGACCAGCTGATTTGATGCATATGTTTGGGCTCGAAGCCCTAAACAAAGGGTATCGTGAGATTGCCCCCCCCACCTTGAAGACAAGGGTGGTGGTGGTTTGCGAGAAAATGGGGGGCTTTGGTCCACTGAGAGCATCAGTTAGACGCTCGCGGCCTTTATAGTGAAGTGACTACTCGTTAGATGTGGAGATGGAGTGTTTGCTTTTGAATTTCATACCACGGGGACTGCCTCTTGGTATGGTGGTGATGTTGAGACGGGCATTTTGATGTGGCTTACATGCCTCAAGTGCACCTGAAGCTCACAAGCGTTTTCGCCTTCAATTGACAAGACAGATTGTCGCAAAGCCATTGAGGTCTTAGCAGTCGTAATATTACTCCCGAAAGACATTTCTGTGCTATAAGAGTCTATCTATTACAGATCGCAAAAATGTGTTCTTCATGATTCTCATGAAGCTCACCGTGAGGTATGACACTTGTAAAGTAAATCAACAAACTTTCCCCAATGGAGAGCCAGCATTAGCTGGCCACACTGCAACTTACAACAAGACAAGATGAACGTTTGGGAAACCACACTTCGTTTGTCTATTCCGTGCCCCTCAGCAATTCAATCTCCAACATTTAAAAATACCAAATATTGTGGCCATAATTACTCATGCTCTTTCCGAACACATCTCTTTGACAATCCGACCATGCTCTTAGAACACAAAGTCGGATCCGTTCCCCAAATCAAGCCCGTCCGAGCCACCATGCACCTGCGCGAATCTTGTCCACCACGTGGGTCAACAAATTGAGTCACCACCAATCATCATTTCCGGCCCATTCGCACCATGACTACCATGACACCGAGTCCTCGAAGACCCGCGCATTTCAGACCCGCCCTCTAGGGCTTGAAACAACGCACAACTGGCTCGCTACAGAGAAGACCAACTTAGTCACTCAACTCGCCACTCTCTGCAACAACAGCCCAACAGCTCAGTTCGAGCTAATCCCCGATGGCACAATTGGCTAGCGCGTCAGACTGTTAATCTGGAGGTTGGTGGTTCGAGCCCACCTCGGGGAGATGCAGTGGTTAAAATCCGCCTGGGAACATTTTCTTTTGCTATTTTTGCATATTTACATGTTTGAACGTGTTGGTTGCGTTGTTTGTCGGTGTACTTGCTTGTTTACCATTGTTGTTGCTGTAGGTCGTTTCAAACTTTTGCAAGCCTCAACCGCCTCAAAGTTTAACGCCGCCGAGCTGACTTGGAGTTGGAGAATTTAGACTTTTGTGTCTTGGTCACAACGATCCGACCGAGACTCAAGCAAAGTAAAGATTCACGACGACATCGCGGCCATTCTGGACTATTCTTGTAGACGTTATCGTTTTTCCTGCCTCCCCCCATGAGGGATGTTCCCGTTGTATCCGACACCAGAACAGAGTAAACGCCTGTGACCCGTAGCCCGCGTCCTTCATTCAGCCTGCTTCCTCGACTTATACTCAACTTCGAGCAGAGAGTGGTGTAGTGAAATCTCGACCTCTCCGGCAGCGGAGAAATCTACAGGAAAGTGGCCCCGGTCGTGATCGACGTTGGTGTCTTGTTTCTGATCGGCCGAGTTGTCTCTGAGTCCAGATGCCTGCCGACAAGGGTCTACAGGATCGTGTCTGTCAGCCATGATGCGCTGCAGCATGTTATCTCTGATTCTAAGAGATCACTTGAGGCCAATCAGCTGCTTTCGCAGGTCGATTCTTTTGGCTTCTCTGCATCGATAGTGCATATGGGGAGTCGGCACGGTGTAGTTGAGATCCTGTCTATCGACGATGTGCTTTCAGAGCCGTTGGCAGTGATGCATTCGCTACGATAATGGAGAGCCCTTCATGCTTCAAACAAGAATCTTCTCTCATGAAAATGCCAGAGCATAGATGGACGATGATGCATCGAATGTCTCTCCCGATGACGCTCGCCTCGTAACGTTATATGGATCGGGGTGCTGGTGACTTCCCAGTTCGGCGTCTCCAGGATTGAGTAGAACAGCTATGTCTGAAGTCACCCTAGAGCTGTTTACCGACTGTGTGTGGCATCACGAAAGTCAGCCCAGTCGACAAGTCGATAGCCTCATAGCGATAGCATTAACGACTCACACGGAACTCTTTGTTGCGAAGATGAAGCTCTGGATGGAAGAAGGGCATTTTCGCCTAGTCTTCTGCCAGACCTGGTCGACCTTAATGGCTGACGAGAGGGGATCTTAGTGAAACTCCCTGACCGCGCAAGTCGCTGTGCGATGAGCAGTAGTATGCCCAGAGAAACGTATGCGTAGATGGTCAGAAATAAGATGGAGCGACTGAAGGTCCGGCCTTCGTAATCGGTAAACAGTGCTTCCAACATCGTTCGTTGGATTTGTTGATGCAAGAGCGATAGAGTCGAGTCTCTTCTATCTACAGTTTCCTCTCAGAACCTTATATAGTAGTCTTTGAGCAGGTTTATTGAGTCTTCTGTTGTCAGGTCGACAGCATTCAAGATTCATTGGGGCGCATCTTGTGCCAGTCCGGCCGATTCTCCCAGTAATCCCGCCGATCTCAGTGTCATCAGGTCAAGCAGGTGGTAAGTTTGCTGCAATCTGAGGGAGCCGGGCGGTTGTCGTGACCACCTCGCAGTGCGCGGCCACCGAGGAGATAAACCCATCTCTGTGAGGGTTTCCCGGCCACAGCAGAAAACAAGTGCACCGTTTCGGCTCCCACATTGGCCGACAAACATGCCGAGCCCGAATTCGAAGCATTCGATGTCATCATGGATGACCTTGAGAGTTCAACAAAGTAGTCTCGGCGTGGTGTAGCGGACTGCCTCGTTCGGTCAGAATGCCTTCAGCTGCTGGGTGCCGGAAGAGCAGCTTTGACAGGGCCCGAGCGGATGGACTGGAGATGAACATGCAACGGATCTCAAAAAAGAAAGAAAAATAGAAGTAATCGTTCATTCAATCCTGGATTCCATGCCTCAGACTTCACCGAGGCTGCCGTGCAGCTTGGGTTCCTCACAACTTGCATCCCCTTTGTCTGCTCCTGAGGCTCCGAAGATCGTGACTCGATGTTAGGTCTAAGTCTGTGTACTTGAGAGGTTTAGACCAAATTCAGCTCGGACAAAGTCCTATTCAGCCCATCGAGGCTGATATATGGCAGCCGTTGAAGACATCACATCCGGCGGCTCGCTACATCCGACTCGCAGTCACCCGAGACATCGGCCCCGATAGACCCACTTTCGGGTCAGACACAGGCCCGTTCAATGGCCGGACCGTGGACGGGAAGAGAGAAGTCAACTAATGCCACTAGGCTGGATTACATTCATTGTCCAAGCCATTTCCATTTCTAATAACAACCAAAAAAAGATGGGCGGCTCCACAGATTTATGAAAGGTTCTCGACACCGCGAGCTTGCCTCTCCGGGTTAGTAGTCACCTCACTGCTGGCTTCTCGGACCTTGCCCCGGATGGATGTGAAAAGATCGCGTGGTAAATCCATACAAAAACTCCACCCAACTACAGAAGTAAACGGTCAAGGGTTTGGCAATAGTCGGAGTTGCACTTCGAAGGGGACTTTCCGCTTGAATTATTCGCCTCTTTAGGGCTCGATTTCTAAGCGACGTTGACGCTTGTTACGTCGGTGGAACAAAGGAAACGAGCCTGGACGCTGTAGTATCAATGATGCGTGGAAGCGAAGTGTTAGCCCCCGAAAAGTCCTTTGATGATCCTGTGGCCTTGTGGGGATTCTAGTCCGCCGGCTAAGGAGGGATGATGATTTTGGCTTGCTCAGGAAAACCCGGGAATCTGGAGCTGCGTGGCTGCCTCGCTTAAGTGTCTTCTCGGATGCTGAACCAGAAACGGAAAGTCAATGGCTGGTCTAATTGTCTAGATAAGCCACGCCATGTGTTCCATTGGCTTTGAATAGGATTTGTTTGCATGTCTTCTCGTTGGCAAAAGGCGCCGGCAAGACTGGGTAACGGCAACATGAAGAGTAAGTTGCATTTTCAACGCTTCCTGAGGTCTTGGTCAGGTTGTACAGGAATGTGGAACGGAACCATTATACTGTCCCAGAAACCTGGGAATTTTAGCTCATGCAGTAAGACATTAAGTTCTCTATTGGTATGCTGCACAATTCACACCGGACCATGGTCGTACACGGACCACAAGATATCACATCGCGGGATCAGCTCGTGTGACATCGTGGGATTTTGAGATCCAAAGTCATGCCCAACCCTGCGATGGTCGTCCGAGCCATCCAATGAACCGCCGAAGTACTGCCAGTCTGACAACATTGATCCCACCAACATCAAGTCCCTAATGCATCTTTATTCACATGCCAAGTTAGACCAAGACCGCGAACGGCATTCCTCAAGTGAGCAGACATTCCCAGCTTGACGCAAACGTCAAGGTGCCCCTGAGGACCTGCACACAGCCAAGGTCTAGCTCACCTTTGGCTGCATGCTAGCCACGCCGATCTCCCATCCAGAGCGTCCGAGCTCTATGCCCTAGGAAGCAGCCTTGGCTTCCCCTAGCGGCATCCATTGAGCACGACCAACCAATCTCGAGCTGTGATATCCCTGCCAGGCTCACGATGGTCTCAGCCGCGACGCCCTCTCTGGCATCTGCTAGTGAGAGGGACAAACTAATGTGAACTGACGCGCATTTACCGAGTGAGCTAGTCGAGACAATGTCGACACACCTCGCGAAAACGCGAGGTCCAGCGTACCGCGTACCACTGCCGGGGAGACCTTCATTGCCTGCCGTGCCTGCCGGCTGCAGCGAGCTGGTGCAACGCTCTGATGTCCCAAGAGGAGGGCAGCCACTTTCTCGAGGTGGGATCTCTAGGGAACTGCCTAGCCAAGCTAATTTAGTGTCTTTACTAGAAAGGCGGAATGACAGCCGTAGGGCGAACTTCCCGTGGTAAGACGTCTACACTGCGGTTCGTCCATGCCACCTTTCTCTCTCCTCATATCCCCACGTTTGTCAACAACATGGCCAAGACCACTTTCTTGGACCCCTCGTCAAAGTTTTGAGTACCTGATCAACCTCTCCGGCTCCAGAGTTCAGATTTCAACGACAATTCGCGGACGACCCTGCTTGGGTACGAGAGGCTTGCAGGACATCATCATCATCGCCCATCCAAAGTCACTCCTTTCACGATGTCTGCTATCCGTCTCTTCTTCCTGCTCGCTTGCTTTCTGGGCCTTGGAAGTTTCGTCGCCGCGTCAGATATCTCGTATCAGGGCATTCCCAGCTGTGCTGTAAGCTTATTTCCCACTGACATCCCTTAGCCATGGAATGTGCTGACGGCCGCAGATCAAATGTATCTTCCAGGAGATCAGCCATTCGTCCTGCCCCTTAACGGATCAAGAATGCATGTGTAATGATAACGTTTTGGCGGGATACGTACAGGTATGCGTCGAGGCAAATTGCACTGTCATGGAGATGCTCGGTAGGTCACGGATCCAGGTTCCCTCAGTGAAGATGTTAAGGCTCATCGAATATCTACAGCGGCACGCAATTCGTCATTGGCTGCCTGTGGTGTTGCCCCTGCTCAGCAGGATACCGTCATGGCGTGGTTCAGGGCGGTTCTATTCGCTCTACCAACCTTTTTCATCATCGTGCGAATGGTGAACAAGTATCTAAAGCTGTCGCCTTGGGGTTGGGACGACACAACCATCGTCATCGCCTATGTATGTTATTCTGAAATACACCCTCTCTCATGCCCTCGACCAGTTTCCCTGACAATCGCAAAGGCCGTACTAGCAGCTTTCCTGCCAGCAGCATATCTAGGTAAAGCTCGGATTCCGACTAATGAAATGTATCCTCTGACGTCTTCGTATAGCCGAAGAAACCGGTGCAGGGAGGGATATATGGGCACTATCAGAAAACCAAATTACTGATTTTCTTTTGGTAAGGCCGCATCATCAATGCATCTCTGCTTGATTACCTCATGGAGCCAAACTGACTGTGCCAGCTCTTTATCATATTCGGTATGCTATATATGACCTGCCTAGCCTTTATCAAGGCCTCGATCATATTTCTATACCTGCGAATCTTCCCCGACGAAACTTTCCGCCGAATACTTTGGTGTACTCAGCTCTTCAACCTTCTTCTTTGGATCGCTTTCATCGCCGGTACCTTCGGCTCTTGTCAGCCCTTGCACTTCTTCTGGCATGGATGGAAGAGAGATATGGAAGGCAAATGCTTCAACCTGAACGCCTTTGCCATGTGCCATGGCGCATTGAACGTGGCTCTGGATGCCTGGATGCTTGTACTTCCAGCAACTCAAGTCTATTCGCTGAGAATGCAGCGCAAACAGAAGCTGGGTGTGATGTTGATGTTCAGCGTAGGAGTATTGTGAGTACGACGAAACTGACATGCGAGAATGCTGCTGACTGATAGTTTAAAGTCTCACTGCCGTTAGTGCCTATCGAATCAAGGCCCTTCTCATCTTTGCGACATCATACAACGTCACAGGCAAGTCCGAATCAAGGGACTCACCATCAGCTATGCACAGTACTGACAACAACCGCAGCCGACTCTTTCCAGAGCTCTCTCTGGTCCAACATCGAGCTATGTGTTGGCATCTTTGTGTCTTGCCTTCCGAGCACACGTCAAGTCTGGAGGAAACTATTCCCCAAGATCCTCGAAGTAACACACCTGTCTTCGAGATCAGCTAGAATGTCTAGATCAGCAAAGGGTTCACACTCTGCCAGCCAAGCCTCACGATCGGCAGCGGACCCCAATGAACGACCGCGACTCGTGTCCTACGAGGAGTCCTCGATAGCGCATCTGGTCGGAGACTTCAACGACATCGACCTCAACAACCTCAGCGATGCGAGCCCGATGGAGAGGGACCCGCCGAAGACGCCCAAAAACAATGTTGTGTTACAGAATGATCCTGTATCAGGAAGCTCAAGAAGTAGTGATGGAGTCATGAGCCAGAAGGGCTGGGATAGATGAACCCATGAAGGGTTTGAGGATGATTATTCAATAAGAGGTGTACCTTCCACCTCAGCGACACCCCCGTTATATCGCCTATCTACGATAGCTCCGGAGATGTATGAGGTTGTTATGTGACAAGCTGCTCTTGCCACATTGTCATGCGACTTCATGACACAGGGATGCAATAAAGGGCTACCTAGGCGGTCTGAAGACACCCTCGAGATAAAGTACAGTCTCGAAGACGTATTGAGGACGTAATATCTAAATTCAGAGGGAGGCAGAAGAGTTGTTTAGGAGATTGCAACTTCTGCCCAGGATACCCAGAGCGACTGCCTGGAAGCTCCGTCAGATGAGGAGGGGTTTTGCCTCAATCTTCTTCCGTAACGGGGAAACCTCGTAGAGATATCAGCATACTTACAGATCCATACCCAGCTAGAATTAATCAATAAAACATCAGCAATAGGTGTGTCTTCACCCAAGCGATACCGACCAAGATTTATGAATACGAGTTGACGAATGATCATCAACCAATCAAAGAGTCTTTGGTTGTCGATCGATCAGCTAGTAAAGTCTAGGCTGAGCTGAGATGCTCCGCCACCAAGGTCCCAAGACCATAGAAGAGGGGCAGAGATTTGTCTATGCTGACGTTCGTCATCCTCTTTCCTTCACGTCTGTTTCAAAAAGCGAAGACCAAACCATCGAAATGGCACAGCAGGGAGGCACATATCGCATATCGCCAGGTATGTTTTCTTCACCTTACCTTCCTTATTTTCAACTTTCTCTCCCGAGAAACCATGCCAACTGACTGTTCAAATCAGAGCAGAAGTCGTCCGTCAAGGAGAGATTGAGATCCGACACTCCAGCGCAGAGTCGATACGAAGAGAAGAAGGAAGGCGAAGAGGACTGGGAGATTGTCCAGAACCCCAAAGATGAACAGCCAGAGCGACAGATCCGAGGCTTCCATAGCAGTTTTGACTTGAAGCTTGGTTGGGGCAAGTGGAAGTTTAGTGCTCTGAGCTGGGAAATGAATGCTGGGAGGCAGGAGTGTGATCACCACCAGAGGCAGGATACCGGCCGGGATTCGATCACAGATGGAGAAAAGGGGGAGGATGGTGCGAAGCGATGAAACTGGTCACTAGAAAACTGCCAGATTCCTAAAGCAACATGATCACTCGACGAGCCGCCGTTTCTTACTCGAAGTCTTGGCTCGACAAGGTGCCCAACTATACACACCTCTCCCCTACCCCATCCCATGGTTCTTTCCCCTGAGAGCTAGTGCATTTGTCCCGAACTTAGGAGGCACCAAGGACTCGTAGATCTCGACGGCATGAGGCATGCGCGCGGGAGAACGTGGGATCGCGGTGAGTCAGATTCCTTCCAGGCCGCCAGGAACCGCGCATGAGCTCTGCGATGGGAACATGTGGTTGCGAAAGAAAGACGACTGCTTTCGGATTTTGAGAGGTGAGGGAGGTTTACTCTTCTGCAAGTGCCGATTCTTGATATTCTTTAAAGGCCCATCGTCAAGGTGGGATAGATTCGAACCAGGGGCATCTCATACTGTCACATAGCAGGGATGGGAACCGCAACCCACGAAGTATCCGTCACGAGCTGTATCACATGTATATCATACATGTCTCGTATATATACCTTTCCTTTTATCTATTTCCACTTTGGTAGACCAAGCCACTGTACCGCACTCCACATGCCTATTGCTGCGTGCCACAGCTCGTGACATGTGCCATATTCTGTAGATAAAACTAATATCTAGTGATCGCAACGAGTTCCAGCCGCGACGTACATGTGATACTTGTCATCAACCGCCGACCAGTCACCACCGAGATCGCCATTCAACTTGGCGGTTGAAGTGACCCCCCAGCTGACCGTGCACTGGGTGTTGGCGCAACAGCAAGTCCATGGACCGTTGCCAGACCCGTCCTTCTTGGAAAGGTAGAAGTTCTTGCAGATATTGACCCGCGGGACGAGGCCTAGTGATTCTCCGTCTTAGTGAATGCCATTTTGGATGAGCCCAGGCCGAGTCAAGATTCCTTACCTGGATGCTGAGCATCCTGCTGAGAGGGCAGGGCAAACGCCGTGGAGAGGATGCTTAGAGCGACAATGGTGAACTGCTTCATGATGAAAATCCGGTGATGTGGGAGGCGTTTAAGAATGTGTTGTGTGTGATGTAAATATTTTGTTTGAATTTGCATGAGTGAATGAGGCACTTGGCGCTCTATATAACATATGTGCAAACTGTACATGATTACTATTATCGCCGGCTACTATTCTACATTGAGCCAGTTCGGTGTTTTGTTTGATTACATAGCCGATGTCAACAACAATGACACTTACTGAACAGACCTGAACTGGCCGACGCCACGATATATCACCGCTGCCGTGCCCGTGTAAGCTTCATTAGCCCAGAGTATAGGTCAAACGTAAGGAGAACAGCGATCACCTCAACTCAAAGCTATGCCTCCCTTCATAATGATTCAATCGGCCAATTAGTTACCAAATGCACCAGACACGGTAGGTATGATCCCAAGGCCTCCTACCCTTGGCTTCAGCATCTCTATCATGAATGGCAATTGTGCTCAAAACAACACATCTGAAGAGCTAAGAAAATCTTTCTATCTACCCGACGAGTTCTTGTCTACCCATCTTATAACGGAGATCGAGGACAGAAAGGTTCTGTTTTGCCAACACGCTCAGATTCGACGGGTTCTTTGATAGGAATAATGAATGTCAGTTGTCGTTATTGGGCGTTTAACTTAAACATGATCATATTGTAGCCTCGTAGCCCCGGCTTGGAAGGCTCAAACAATTTTTGATTCCTGACTCTTGGTGATCGTAACGCCACTGGTACTTGAGAATAGCTGGGTCGGCTATGAAGGTCTGAGGGACAGGCATACGAGGTGAAATTATTGAGACTTCCTCGCCTTGTCTTTCGTACACGAATCCCTACAGTGCTGGAAATACAAGAAAAATAAGCACTTTGTCTACATGTAGATATGTTGCACAGAAATTTAGTCCAGGAGAATTGAAGTTTGCGAGGATAACCCAGACGGCTGTCTAGACAGACACATCTCAATTCAGTTTACAACGCATTCGGTCAGATGAATTATTTGCTCTCGAGAGACGCATTTAAAAATTAGGCTTATGGAATTATAACTTTCGTAGAATCGAAGAGTGGGTAGTCAAACAGCACTTCCTCAATAGCCACCACCAACAGACACACCCAAATTTGACAAAAAAAAACACACTCAAAAGTGTTAACAACTCAACTATAGTAATCACGTCGCGGATTCATTTCTCCTTTTGAATTAATAGTAGAAAAAAAAGGAGCGATACTTTACTCCTTTTCTCCTCCTTTTGTCGGGTATGACCAACACTTATACCCACTGACTCGTTTGCCGTGAGCAGACCAACTTAATATAAATTGCATACGAAGGGGGGGGCGGACAACGCCAAAACGACGAATGACCAATTCCTCGGGTCCCACTCGACGTCCACCGGCATCTGCATATAGAGTTCATACTTAATAAACCTCTTTAGATTTGGTTTTTGCTTGGCAGAGCATCGTAGGGCTTTTCGGTCTTATTATAAACACATGATCGTCACCGCCCCCGAATGTACCGAAACGGCGGGATGGGCGGGTACAAAAGAGAGGTTGATTCCCGTCGTTTGCTAGCTAAGTGGACTTGAGGAAAACCTGACGTACCAACGGATATACATATTCTCGATATTCTCACAACAACAACATGTACGCCTCTATTCTTCTGACCTCTCTGCTCGCCGCCGGCGGCGCCCACGCTGCCGTGGCGCAGGGCTCATGGGGCGTCCGCGCAGACTACTCCCGTAAGTAATAACACATCCCCCCATGTATCCATCCGAACTCCAACCTCCCGGCCCGCTCGGCCGTAGACAAAAAGGATAGATCGCGGATGAAACCTGAGATGACCTCAACCCCAACCCATCCCGACCAACCACAACTCACTAACCCACCTCCCCCCTACAAACAGGCTGCGACGCCGCAACCCCCCTAGAAGTCGTCCTCGACGGCGCACTCAGCAGCTCCTCCCCCTCGGCCAACATCACAGACTTCTCCATCGCCTCGCCCTTCTCCGGGTCCCTCGTCATCAAGGTCGCCGGCGCCGTCGGCTACGGCAGCCCGTACCCGCCCCAGCAGGTCGGCGTCGAGGTCTTCGCCGCCGCGACGGCGGGCGACCCGGGCGTGTGGGCGAACGCGACCGTGACGCCCGGCGTCGGGCAGCCTGCTTCCGTGGCGCAGATTGCGTGGAACACGAGGAGCGATGTGGCTGTTGCGCCCAAGGAGGGCGAGACGGTTTCGCTGGAGACGATTTTTGATGGTGGGAGCTTGGTTGTTTATTACGTGAGTTTCCCCCCCCGCATTTACCCCTTCCATTGGAGAGGCGAAGAATAGGTTGGCTGATTGCGGTGTGTGTGTTTTTGTAGTGCGGCCTTCCTGAGGCTGGTGGACCTGTCGCATGAAGGGGGGATGCTGGTATGATCGGATGAAAGTGGGATACACGACTCGAAGCTCGTTAGATTTGCAAGGTTGAATAGACATGTCTCTTGCCCCCTTGCCTACCTGTTGGTCTCATGTGAGCCCAAGAAAGAAACCAAAGTGAACCACTCTCCCAGACTCCTGCCTACTTTCACTTCTCACGTGTGGAGAAATTTCAAATTGTCGTAGCGATGCTCAAAAGCCCGCTCAATTGAATCTCTAGTATTGGGTAGTGGTATACAGAAAGATCTAAATGGTGTCTAAAATAGAAAGTAGGGGGGTATCACAATACACAAGCATGACAGGAGACCAACAATCACGACCAAGGCCTCGACCTCGAAGGAAAGCGGCGGCCGGGGCGGGGTTCCTAATCCCTCTTGGCCCTCCTTTTGGCCCTTCGCGCCCTCTTTTTGTTTTGCTTCTTCCTCTCGGCGCTGATTTTCCTCTTCTGCCAAAACGACTCGAGCCACGCCCAGATCCAGGAGCGCATCATGATGATGATTGTGCAAAAGACTACAGGGCAAGCAATGACCCAACTGTTTCCTTGGTTAGTACGATAGCTGCGGAGCGAAAGGGGTGGTCTCAACGTACAAGAATTGAATGCCCATGGGGTTCTGGATATCCGGAAACTTTTCAAAGTTTTGTCCAAAGTACCCAGTCAAGAAGGTCAGGGGCAGGAAGATGATGGTAATGATGGTCAGCTGCTTCATGCTCTCGTTTTGGTTCGCCGAGATGGTGTTGAAAATGAGATCAATCAGGTTATCAGCGGACCGCTTGATCTGCTGCATGGACTCGGTGATTATGACGCAGTGATCGAGCACGTCACCTAGGTACGTGTGCGTGAGCGGCGTGACGATGACGCCGCTGGCCGGGTTGCGCAGTTGCCGCGCCGCCTCGTCCTGCGATAGCTCGGTGCGGTGATCGCGCAGGACGTTGACGAGGTTGTCAATGGGGTTGAGGAACGTGAGCATCTTGTTAATCTCACTGACGCAGATGTAGAGGCTGCGGGTCTGCTTGATGCTCGGGCTCGTGAGGACGTCGAGCTCGAGGTCGCCGATGACGTCGCTGTAAACGGCCGTCAGGGGAATTGCGAGGTCGATGATGGCGTCGATAATGGCCTGGACGACGAGGGAGGCGTCGCAGGACTGGCGGAGGATGGTGGAGGGATCGCCGAGGCGCACGGTGATGGGGCGCTCGATGTCTTCGGCCGACATCTCGAAGAAGGAGATGACTGTGTTGTCCGAGGTCAGGAAGATGGCGACCTGCTCGGCGGACACGGCGAGGCCGCGCGACATGAGGGAGGAGTGGCGCTCCATGTACTCTGTGCGGACTTCGTTGGCCGAGGCGTGGTAGCGCTGGAGGGTGCGGACAAAGGCCGTCTCCTTGAGCTGGGAGAGCTCGCTCATGTTGCGGTTCAGCTGGGCCCCGTAGCCGCTGCCGTCGCCCTGCGTGACAATGGTCGGTCTGCCGGCCCTCTGCCTTCCCGTCTCTGGGTCTGGTCTCGGCTTGCCGCCCATGGTAAAGGCGCGCTTCAGCTTCTTCATACCCTTCCCGGACTTTGCAGTCTTTACGCTCGCTACGTCGTCCGAATCGTCGTCGCTGCTGCTACTACTGCTGCTGTCGTCGTCGAGAAGGAGGACGAGCTTCTGCAGCGTCATGACGATGAAGGCGTGGTTGGCGTACCAGTCGGCCTTTGTGCGGTTCCTCGTGTTCATAATATCTTCGATGGCGAGCTTGTGCAGCTTGTAGTACTTTCCGCAGGCCTGAATAACGTCCCAACTGAGACCGTTGATGTTGATCCAGCGGCTCTGGACCCACGGCTCCTGGGGTTTCCGCAGGAAGTCGACAAACTCTTCGTTCCTAAACTTGTGTTGGACCATGTTGCCCTGGCTGAAGTCGAAGACGGAGATGTCGCACTCGGCACGGAGGGCGGGCATGGAAGCGTGGCCGCCGTCCGACTTGTTGGGATCGAAGCCGGGCTCGGAGCCGGGTTGCCAGCCGGGGCGAGACATTTCAAAGTCTCCGTAGTCTTCTACCGGCTTGAAGGTGCCTGCGCGTCGTCGCATAGGGGATATGTTCTGGTCGGTAGAGGCGCGGGTCAGAGGTGCGCCAACATCGTTAGGAGCGGCGACACGCACGCGCGCCGTGGGCGAGGTCGGGGAAGCGGCATGGTCGCGGGTATCGATCTGTAAGGACGGGAATCGGACGGTGCGCGCGCTGTCGTCGGGTTCGCTGATTGTCTTGGACATTGGTGCGCCGAACGGGTCGGTGTCGGGCGACATGACGGTCGCACACGTCCCCGGGTAGGTAAGGCAGAGTAGATGTGGTGACGAGGGAAGAAGAGAGGAGGGGAGAGATCGGTCGCCCGGTTGGTGGGTGGTTCAAGACATTAATATTCCAAGAAACGAAGCTTTTCGTCGTCGCGTGGCGCTTGGTACGCTAGGGGTCCAGGAACCGCAACGGCGTAAAGCTTGGCTCGGACGGAGGAGACAAGAAAAGGAAAGATGGCAAGTTTCGCGTTATTCGTGGCGTCGAATGGTCAAATCAGCACCGAGTGTCGCAGAATGGCGTCCTTCAGCCGCATCTAGCAAGGTCGTTTTCTCTGGCAGTGTACGTGAGATGTAGTTCGAGCATCTCAATTGGGCGAGACGAGTTGCGATGGCTGACTAGAAGGTGAGACTGGACGAATATGGATGGATGGGTGTTCGTAGATGGATGGAATAAACTGAGAGATGTTGGTGGCTGCAGAAACGTGGGATGGTTTGATGCTGTGTGACGCCGGCAGAAGAGAAGCGAAGCGAAGTGACCCCTTCCTCGGCACATCTTCCAGGAGAAAGCAAAGCAGGGCAGGTTAGGGATGGGTAATCGCGATGAACCCCCTAATGACGTCGCTTGGCAGTACAGTAAATTGTACGAATACAGGTAACAACTCCACTACTTACTTGCACCATCCGCTATTGGACGATACAGCGGGTGACAGCGATTAAGCTCTCGGCTGGTGCCGGTTATCCGCGTCAAGCTTCCCCTGCTGCAATGATCACCTCAAGATGACCCAGTCTGGAGTCTAGCCTCGACCCATCAGACTGGAAAGTAATGTCAAGCTTTTGACTAGTCGTCGTGGTCCATATCTCGGAACTTGAGTGCCGTTCGGAATTGGCAGACTTTGACATGAAGCAGAATCATGTCCCTTACATTGCTGATAATCGTCTAATTCCATGTACTCCCTAACCTGACCAATCTCCCTCATAAAGATGCCCGGGTAATCCAATTCCCAAGTATAACTGTCGTCAACGACGAAGAAAAGAAGTATACCACATGTGCAGGATCACTCACAAACATCAAGCTACCTAGACAAACATATCCTGTCCTCTAGGCTACAATCTTGTACGTCTCACTATTGTCCCCCTTACAAGCAGCCGTGACCAAACGTCCCTGACTCCCAGGGACAACACACGTAGCCGCATCATTCACAGGCGACCACAAGAAGCTGTCCCCAAAGACCTTGACCAGCTGCCCGCTATTCGTAAGCCCCTCGCCCGCAGCACGACCACCACACGAGAAAAGCGTGACCGTGTCGCCGTCCGCCCGCCGCCCGTCGGTGCTGACGCACCCGTTGGTCAGGCTGCTGACAATGAGCATCGCCCCGTCCTTGCCGTCGTTGTGCTTCCCCTTGGAAATCACGTCAAACTGCTGATTGGGAGAGGCCTTGTCGCACGCCGCTACGGCGACGGGGATGAGGTTCTGACGGAAGTCGCCGGCGGTTGGGTCAATGGAGAGACACTGCCCGTTGGGCGCCTGGATGGCCACCTTTGTGAAGGCGCGGGTGGCCGTGTCGTCGAAGGCGTTGGCCTCGGCTGCGGCGGTCGGGTTCAGAGTGCCGCCGGCACGGGAGACGGGGACGGGCGAGGTGGGATTGGCGGCGGGGATATTTCCCTTCTGGCCATTTCCGGCGGCTGGGGCTGAGGAGGCGACGGGCTGTGCTACCGCCGGAGCGGACGTTGCCTCGGGTTTGGCGGTCGCGACGGGGGCATTGCCCTGGCCGGGCTTGACTGTGGTCGTCAGCGTCATGGTGATGGTCTCGTCGTTGTCATCGCATCCGGCTGAAGGCTTTCCCGTCACAACGGCTGCCGCTGTTGTAGTTGGCGCAGGCTGTTGAGCATCGTTATCCGCTCCATTGCCAGTTCCGTTACCTCCCGCCCCGGCTCCTCCGCCGACTAAAGCAGGCTTCCCGCCAAAGGCAAAAGACTGGGCTTTGTCGTCGGCATTGCAGTCCGCAATGTCCACCACCTTGCCCTTGACCGCGAAACACTTGCCCTTCTCATTCTTGGGCTGGAAGGTTGAGGGTCCCGCTCCGCTGTCTACGGCGAAGAGCTGGGAGTCCGTCACCAGGCCTTCGCCTGCTGCGCGTCCGCCGCAGGAGAAGAGGTTGACCTGGTTACCTGCCGCGCGACGGGGATCAAAGTTGAAGCAAGCTTGCGTCTATAATCATGAATCAGTATCGTCTTGCGCTTTGGGACCCACATGGAGGGGATACAGAGAGTGAACTTACGAGAGTGCTAACGATGAGCATCGAGTTGAGCTGATCATTGTGCTTTCCAGCAGTGATGACGTCCCAACCTTGTCCGTCCGTCGCTCCGCACTCGGCTACCTGGATCGGGGTGAGGTTCGCCCGGAAGTCTCCAGATAACTTGTCGACAAAGAGGCACTTGCCGTCAGCTGTTTTGATCTGGACGTCGGAAAAAGCGCGCGTGGCGGTGTCGTCACGGGGATGCGCTTCCTTTGTGGCCTCCTCGTTGAGCTCCGTGACGGCTCTGCGCTGGAGGCCGAGAGGGCTGGCGGACGCGAGAAGTGTGGCGTAAGCCAGAAAAGTTGCGGTTTGAGAAATCATGGTGATAAGTGAAAAAAGATAAACTTGTAGTAAATGAGCGTATCGGAAAAGAATGAAAGCCTGCACAGCAGGGTGTGTTGACAATGAAACGAAGGGAGATGGAAAGAGGAAAGACACGGAAAGGAACCACGATATCACCAGAGTCGATGCAGCAATATCGAAGGTGATCGCTTCATATGAGAGACCAGGACGGCAGATGGACCCTTATACTCGGCCCATGACGAAGGCCAGCCCATCTGTCGCCTGTCATCCGTCATCCATCATCCGTCGCTGAGCATCCAAGCGCCATCCCATTGACGCCAAAAGCCTTCGTCGGTCCCATGCAATCTTGTCCCTTCCTGCTTGCCCCCCAAGAAGCGCGAGCGCTAGGGTCTGAACATGGTTTCACGAGATTCCTATCTTGCAGCGAGGTTTCGTTTGGCAGCCTGGGCCCGGGAAGATATGGGAAACCTTCCTCGGCTGAGCCCCCCTCCCTGCTGCGCATCATTCCCGCCTTTCTGGTGACAAGCTGACAGAGTGCCGTCCGAACACTCGTTCAACGGATAACTCGGTGGGGATTGGGACTCGAGAGTTTCTGTGGTATGCACCACATGGCAAAGTAGCTGCACAAGGTTCGAATGCAGCTAAAGAGAATTGAGCCTCCGGTTGGTTGGGATGGCCCGGCGCGTGAAACGGCTCGTGTAGCAGGGCGGCAGATCCTGAAGGGATGGCGCGGGGATCGTGGCGGGAAGATGAGACGAAAAAGGAGTTGTTGAGGTGTGAATTTGTGTGTGCAAGGGGGAGAAAGGGCCAAAGACTGAGAGTGACAGGGACGCAGGAGAAATAAGAAGAGGTCCGCGCTTGTTGGCCCCTGCACAATGAGCCGGTGATTGGATGGGAGGGCTGCCGGCTACCGAGTGGGGCTTTACGGCCCCTCCAGTACCGGCCGGGTGGGGCACTCGTGGGCGCTTGCCGGACAATCCCATCGGGGGACGTACCCGTCACTGTAGGTACTATTTCAAGCTTAAATTCATGCTCAACTCCTAAGTTCTACTGTCTCACGAGCCCTTCCGCTTTTCTCATGTGGAATTCCTTCATACTGGGCTCACGTCTCACGACAGGTTCTCATGCGACTCGGAGTGCCACAAATCGATCCCTCAAGGTTTTGCAACTATCTTGGGCTCCCTTCCTATAATTGCTTGCGAAGGGGCTAGATGTTCGACTGAACTAATCATTGTGCAAATCTCACCGTCATCGACTTTGGATAGTACTCCCGTGCCTTGGTATTTTATGTTCATTATTCGTATTCATGGCTACCTCTATATCTATGGGCAAGCCTTTTCAATCCAGCTGCCTTTCCATGGCGTATCCACAGCCAGGATATGTACCAGAATCCATGTTGAAGTACACCGCGAGTCTTTCCAACCCGCCACCACGTGAAATAGGCTCATTTGATGCCATTGAGTTCATTAAACCCAGCCTGGACCAGACTTTGCCTCCCCTTCCGGTCTCCCACGCCAGTCCAGTAAAATAACCCACCAAGAGCCTTGCTCTTCGCATACTGGGCCTTGATGGCCACCGATCTCGGCACATCAAAAGTCATGAACCCATACGTGGGATCAACATAAGTAGCCGCCGCGGCAGTCGTGTCCACAGTCGCCTTATCAACACTATCATTCGACATGTCGCAGTAATCAACCTCAGCAGACCCCTTTGTCGATCCGCCCGGCCCTTTCGCATTAGGAAAGGTTCGGGCATACGCCGGGATTCCGAGCAGCACTTTCCGGCTCGGGAACCCATTGCTCGTGACGTAGGTGATGCCGTCGGCGCAGGCGATCTTGAGGTTCGGGTTGTTGCTCACCAGCGTCTTCGACGCCAGGAGCTGCGCGTGGTTGCCCGAGACGTCGGTCCAGGGTCCCGTGAGGTCGTAGCACATGAGGTTCAGGTAGTCGAGGAGCGAGGCGGCTCGTCTGAGGTCGATGTTCTTGAGCACCCATTGGCCCGGCGGCAGGGCTGATGTGATGAGGTACTTACCCGCTGGCATCTGTTGGCGGACGTCGCTGAGGAGGCTGATGTAGTCTTTGCCCTGCTTGGCGTCGCTTGGGTGTTCCCAGTCAACTTGGACAAAGTGTCAGAGCCAGAAACCAGGGAGAACACAAGGATCGGAAAACCTACTATCAACACCGTTGAGCTGCCACTTGTCGCAAAAGGCCTTGATCTCCTTGGCAAAACGAGCGCGGGCGGTAGGGTTGGCAGCTAGAGCCGGGAACTCGGCGCTGCCCGTGCCACCGCCGACGGATACGAGGGTGCGGATGCTCGGCTTCGAGGCCTTGAGCTTGGCTGTGGCCGAGAGACAGCCCTTTGTCCCGTCGACTGGAATCTGGGTATCGGCCCAGTCGTCAATGAGCTTTAGCGACCCGTCCGTGTTGACTTTGATAAAGGCGTACATGACGTGAGTGACGGCATTGACGGGCATCGAGGCGGGTGTCTGACCCTTGTACACCCGCCAATTGGGGTAGTAGACGGCGTTGACCCAGCCTTGAGACATGACGGGCTGGATGAATGCTGTGAGAGCGAGAAGTTTGAAGATCAGAAAGGACAGTCGTCTCGGCGAGCTCGATGTTGAGGTCAAGGTCGAGGTCAAAGTTGTGGTGTGTGTCGATGTCAATGTTGAGGCTGACGGCGGGACGGCGCGGGGGAGGGGTCGTCCTCGGGCCATTTTTGTAGCTTAGGGCCCGTCCGGGTGCGGCGGGGTGGCCCAGTTCGCTGACGTGGAGGCCCCCGGGGGCTGTGCTTGCCGTAGATGCCGCTGCAGGGCGCCCAGCTGGATCGCTATTGGGGATCCGGTGACAGCCAAGGCAGGTGCTGCATCGGGTGCAAGTTTCCTCCTCTCCTGCCCTCGTGTTCTCCTTGATTCTCCTCAATTCCTCTCGTAAACGTCTCTTTCTTCTTTTCGCCTTACCACGATCAAACCGGTGACGGCCGACTGAGAAACAACAAACAGCTCAGGAAAAAAACAAAAAAACAGCCTCCAGGTCATCGAGAAAACCTGCTTTCGGTGCTGGTGCTTGTTCCTAAAAGAAGAGAGACACCGCACGCGACTTGGGACTGGTAGAAAACAATCCTTTCCGGTTCCTGATCTTTCCCCCCCTTTTTTTCTCCCTTTCGTGCCTGAACCCAGGGGAGATCTTATACCGACCGCATGGGACATTGGCTAAATTCTCGAATTCCAGGGGAATTCTAGAGGAATTCGATTAATTCCTTGGCGGCCTTCTTCGATAGGCTACTCGACAAATATGTGGACGATTCGTAAGCCTTTGTCCCTCTTGGAGAATGCGACCATGCACGTCTTTTTAGCCAGGCCGTTGCATTAAAGACTTGCAGGCTTGCTCTCCCCCTCTTCACCATTCGGAGGAGCAATCTACACCTGCAGACGGGAAGCAAGCTGTGTGCTCGGAGGAATGTCGACCGCGTTCTCGATCGAGCGGCGGGATTTCCGTTTGACGGCGGACTCCCGGGGAGGAGAGGAATCAGATGGAGTCTGAGAAGGAGACTGGAGGAAAACAGAGCCCCCTTGGCTTGTCCTGCATCCCAATGCTGCTGCCAAGGACCACGCGGCAAACAGCAAAATCGTCGCGAATTGAGTACTCCAAGGGCACGCTGACCGGCTGATTGCCTAGGGAGGAAGGAGGTCTTTATCAAAGCACATGCGGCTGCAAGGCTCATATCGAATGGCATCGGCCGCGGGGGACGGGGACCGATATCCCGGAAGACTTGCATCGCGACCAACCCTTCAACAGAGTCTTTGAGCCGGTGGAGGGAGCATTTCCATGGCACGCATGGCTACCGCTTGGCGGCGTGGCGTCGGACGGATGGCCTTGGCCGTTGGGTGCGGCCGATGAGCGACAAGGAAACATCACGATGAATGCGGCCACGGCGCCACGAGACATTTTCGCGCTCCGGCGCAATCCGACGCATGCGGAAGGACATCTCTCAAGACTATAGAGAAGGTGGACTTGGCGAGGCCCAGCTCACCATCGCCGCATGTCAATTTCCGCCAGATGGATCTCTGCCAAGTTCGAACAGCGGTCGCGAAGTAAAGGACGTGAAGCACGACATCTGGTTGACTGCAGGGCCAAGACGGCCTTTCGCAGAGGTCAACCGTTTGACAGCGGACAGATGCAGCGTGGAAGTTGAACTGAGAGAACTTTGCCTTCGGATCAAGTCAAATGTCTCGGGATTTCTCTCTAGAGCAACTTCTCAGCCGCATCAACAACCCTTGGGAAGACACCAGAAATGTCTCATTTCCTTTAGCTGGGTCGACATAGCTCGCAGGCCATGGCAGGAGAAAACAATGACAAAGGAATGCCATTTTGATGATAAGCACGACAAGCTCACAACAGCAGAAATATCTCGCTTGCTTCGACTGGTCGTCTGCCAACACTCAGAGCTACACTATCTGTGTGAAGAGCCCTGAAATACACGCGATCAGCCATTACAAGGAGGAAGCCATCCCGACGAAGTGGAGGTGTGGACTCGGCCATGACTCTGCGCTTGTGATTCCAAGCCTCGTACGTGGATGAAGCTCAATGGCATACTTAACTCGAAAAGGAGCTTTAAACCCTTTTCCACGAAAGTGAGCATGTTCAAGGACAAGCGTCAGTAGTAGCTGGAATTCAGGAAAGCGCAAAGAGCCACATAGGTCATTGGCTTCATCGATACAATTTCCAACCTCATGGCATCATGAAGCGACGCCTCGTGGGATAATCAACATTGAAAAGACAGCCATATTGATTTTAATGCCTACTTACGGTTATGATTGACCATCGCGATTCGTGACAGTTACGAAGTCGATGGTCCATCGAAGGCTTCCCGCTCATCCAAGCATCAAACTTCGATCTAGGAGACCTAGACCCTACCACGCCATATTGACCTATGGACCGTAGACCGTTGTTCTTCTCCATCGAGTCAGCAATCTCTGGGAATACATTCAACATTTCCAGAGAGGTTGGTCATGGGACATCACTTCCTGCTCAAAGCTATCTAAACTAACATCTAGGGCAGTTCTGGCAGACTATTAGAGGCAGACCCCGCGTTGCCCCTCCCCTTACCTTCCCCTGCCCCAGCCAAGCTGCATCCAGAACTATCCCTCATAATGGCGTGATGGACTGGACATGGCTGGCGGGAGGCAAGGGGGAATGACAGCCACCCACGTTGCAATCACGACGCAGGGATTGGTGGAAACCGAGGGCGCAGACGACGCCACGAGCTAGCTTGCGCGGTGAACACAAGCGCTACAGGTGATGTCTTCCCCAGAGGAGGAAAGTATGAAGAGCTTAAGCACAACCAATTGTCATGCTACCACGAGGGACCCTTTCAGGTCCTTACTCAGCCAGAGGAGCCAGCCCCGCGGATACCTACCGATCTAATGCAGCGGGAGGCGATGGATTCTCTCTCTCTCTCTCTTGAATAGCTGGCTGGGGTATCGGCACCGGCTCCGTGGAAGCGGAGGGTCCAGATCCTAAAGCACGCAAACACTTAGCTGCCGGCTTGCCCGGTGATCTCTTATCCCGCGAGAATAATCTGCCGCAATTGCGGACTATCGCCAATGGATGGGTTCCAGCCTTCTCTTTACACAGACTAGAGCGACACACTTCTTGATCCCGAGGAACAGATATCGAGCTACTTTGGTCCTGCGTTGGCTTCCTGCAACTCCTCTGCAAAGGAAGCTTTTGATCACACCCGGCGACTTGGTAGCCAATTCGCAATCGCCTCGCTTCTGACGGTGCTGGACGAAAAGAGGAGACATCCGATCACGCGGTTCGGATTGGGCTCCGTACCCTACAGGTGCTGCCGCGTAGCTCAGGTGGGAAGTCGGGACGGTTTCTTCCAAAGACATTGGGCAAAAAAAACGTCGAATCTTCTTGCCATCTCGTTTCTGACAAGCGTCGCAATCATCAGCCAGTTCAATTAGCAATACCACGCGCGTCCGGTACCATTGTTCAATTCGGGCAGCGTCAGCTTCGGCGCTTGACTCGTAAAGCGGGTTCGTCACTCCGTGTTTGACTGCTGTCACTCGCAAGTCGCAGAGCAGAGGAGACGACACGTCTTGGCAAATCAATGCTGTTGCGGATCTTGAAACCTTCCAATCGCCCATGCTTCAGGTACGACGGTCTTGGCGTCCCATCGGGGCATCCGGCGGAAACATGAGGGCGAGAGAGAAGACGAGGCTGCGAAAAAGGATGTTAGAGAGTTGAATTTCGGCGGGACTCCGCAAAGAATTGGGACCCTTTGGAGTTGTCCGCCTTGACAAGCGTCTTGGAAGATGGAGACGAGAGAGGGTCTCCTCACCCAAAGTTGGCTCCCCAGCCGTCGATCTCGGGCGTCGTTAGTCCTCCGTATTCCGAGTGCCACTCTAGGAGAGTCTGGGGTTCCGTTTCTTGAATACGATGCGACGGCGTTGGCCAAGCGGTCTAGCAGGGTGGCGCCGTTCCCAGTGAGCGCATCCGTATCTCCGTTTATGCCAATGGGACTCTAGCAATTCAGCTGGGCAAAAACACCAAAAACTCTTACGAGACCAGATCTTTGACGATGCGCCGCCTGACGTGGCCATGCATCGTGACGAAGAGCAGGGAACATCGCTACCACTTTCCGGCTGACGTCAAAGCCGTCCCGTGGGAGGACCATGTCTCGTCAGCTCGCGGATTGCTCCATATGTCTCAGTCAGAGGAAATCAGTTATCCCGAAGATGGTGAGAGTGCTGTCTTGGGTGTCCCGCACCGGGCCCGCTCCAAGGCGACGAGCGTCATCTCCCCAGATATCATCGCGCACCTTCAGCGTCGCATCGCAGCTGGGGAGTGTTTGCTTCAATGTTCAAGGTGGTCTGGAAGAGCAAAAAACAGGGACCTGTCACTGGATGGAGCTGCAGGCTGACGAGCGTTGGAGTATTTTGATGTAGAAACGTCGGCTGATTTATCTGCACAATTGACAAAAGTACATACAGAGCAGAAAAAGCCTCTTCCGTTGGTTGTGCTTCTAGCCGTCGATCATGAACCTGAGCTCAGCGACTTGCATCGGCAATGTACTCTGCGGTCAGTCAAGCGGTCAGGCTGCCCGGGAGGTGGGCAAGATGAGATGCCGCGCCGGGTCAGCACAAACCTCCATCCATCTTCTTCTCGTCTCTTTCGCCTCCCTCGCGCCCGACTATTACTTGCTTCAGAATGGACTCAACCAGCGGTTGAGTGATCGCGGACAGTGATGCGAGAGAAAACAGAACCAACAAAGCGATGCCGCGATGCGACGTACGACACGACGCGGGGTTCCGGCAGGCTGGGGTATTCCTAGTCTACTGCGTCTTCTGGGGTCCTCTAGCTTTTTACAGCCAAGACCCAAGCATCTTGGCCCCCCCTCTAAAGATGGAAAAGACGAAAGATTGGGATCCCACGTCCCCTGTAGGATACGGGTTGCGGCGGCGTCGGAGACTTCTCATGGAGCACTGGGTTGGTCCCAGTATAATGGTTCCTGTTCTACCGGCCCTGTCTCTCCAAGACTCTCCAAGACCAGATTGATTAAGCAACCACCCCCAGTCACTGGGCCTGTCAAGACTTCAGGACAGTCCCAAGAATCGAACTCTATCAGCAGACCTCGCTCAACCTCCACGGCAGAAACGAGTTCATCCCTTTTGTCGCGCCGTGAATCGTGGCGCTGCGCACTATGCTTGTTTCAGCCTCTGTCTCCGAGCACCGGCCATTTAATTCTCGCTCTCTATAGCTTTTGTGTAGGGTGTCTAGACAGTTTGGACATAGACTGCGGACGACGATGAAGCGGACTCTGCATAGGTCTGCAGCAATAGAGCAAGAAACGCAACGTGAACAACTCCCGACCGGCCTTGAGAACATGCGCTTCCACGGGGCGCAATGTGGTGAACAGGGGTTCTTTTCTGACCGGTCTGTCAGCGGCTGCATCATGGGGAGCACTCCTCTCTTCTCTCACTCAACTGTTCTCGGGTTCTTATTCAACAGAGTCCGGCGGTCGCATTGCCAAGCCACTATGCACCGAGAGACCCGATCATGACAGGGGACCATCAAAAGGAAACTGTCAAGGAAGGCCTGGGCCGCTGAGACTCAGCTTTGCTGTCTGCCCATCTTCTCTGATGGGGGGTGAACAGCAGCAGTAGCTGACGGACGAGTCCACGACAGGCCAAGCTTCATCGTCACACCATGACAAGTTCTGAAGGCGGGAAGCGCACTCGTCGCTCAATGCGCCTGGGCGGCGGCGCGGGAAGAGAAAGAGAGAGCCAAGATATCGTCGTCCTAGGCGGGGCCATTCCGATATTTCAGGGTTCTCGAGGTCACGCTGTACGGCGTTCATAGGGCCATGAGGTCCCATCCTACGAGAATTGACGACACCCCCCAGTTCCTGCATCGCAGCAAAGTTCCACGACGTGCTCGTATTTCACGCCCGGCCGAGAGATGGGTTCCCATAAGGGCTTTGGACGATCGCCATCCTGAGAGACTCCAGAGAGCCCATCTGCGAGCCAGTCGCAGTCTGCGGTTGGGCCTTGGCACACGTCCCTGGTGCATTGGGCACGCCTGGCCTGAGTTCAGAGTCAACAGATGGAAGACAAAAAGTGAGAGCATGCGAACAGGTTCATCCTCTCGCTGAGCGACTCAGTAACTCAGCTCCGTTGTCGTCTTACCACACCAGCCAGGGGTCGTCCTCTTCTCCTTCGTCCACTTCCGTCCCTCCCTCTTCCAAGTTCCTCCTCCTCCTCCCGCGCGTGTGTGTGAGACAAAAAACTGTGAGCAGCGTGGCAGCTGGGTACTGCGAAATGCTAAGCGCTTTCCGTATTCCGCCCCAGGCAGACGGACAACAACTCGCACTAGCACGATGTAACTTAATCCTTAGCGCAGAGCCCTACTGGGAAGCGACGTCGAGATAATCGGCGGGACGATCTATGGTTATCCGCGAGAGTGGAGAGGTTGGCAGGCATTCGGATCCCCAGCCTCCACGCTTCCGCAGCCCGTGGTGGTATTCCTGGAAATCCTGGAGACGCTTGACGGCCCTAAGGGCAGTTAAGCCCCAGAGACATGGCAGAGAGCCAGAGAGAGAACCACGTTCGGCATTTCTCCGTCATTGCTATTGCCGGGTCACCTCAGCACCAGCAGTGCCGCGCCACAATGCAACAGTCTGTGTTATTGCTGCTGCCTCCAGTGTTGAGTGCAATATTGAGTCGAGTCGCATTTCCCCCTCGGGCCGTTTACTTTCCATGTGCAGAAAGCACACGCCTTTCTTCTGCGACGAGGTCCTGGTTCCCGTGCTGCGACGAAAGGGGGTCCCTTTGATTCTTCGAGGGGAACCCCTCGTTACAGTATCGGAAACACGTTTTCACTCTTTCTCTCTCGTCGAGGACGCGCACTACGTTTCTGTCCATTTTGGCGTCTTCGTCTTCTTCTGGGTGGGAAAAGACCCCCAGCCTCGAGAAGAAAACCACACGCGCGGCCTTTGTCCCGCAACGGCGCCCCAATAGCTTCGCAACCAAAGCAAGACAAACCTCAAAGGTCCATCCCGAGACAGTATCGAGCGGCGCTTGTGGCTGACTCCACCCCGTTTACCTCTGGCTGAACGCTCGCAACTTGTTTCGTCGTGGGCGTAAATAGGTACCTCGCAGGTCTGCACCAAAAGCTTACCGTTTTGCTTGGCACCGTTCACGCCACATCCCAGCCATCTCCGATGTACTGCCCAACCTGCCTGGTTTTTCCATCTTTCCCGCTGCTACATGTAGAGTATGGCGTTCTGGTTGCGCCGCCGTTCGGGCGAGAGCAACTGATACGTTTTTTTGAACAGGAAACCTGGTCGAGGATGACAGAATGACAGACGTCTCGAGCTGTTCCCTTCCATCCACATCCCGAAGTACCTGCATGCGTTACGATTTTCCTTTTTCTTGTTGGTCGCCTCTCTCTTTTTTGCAAAGTACCCTGTTCTGCGTCTGCCTACAGGAGGGTAATCCCTCCGTCCAGTCAGCTTACATGCCTCTAAGCCTCTTGACGTCAAAACGCGCCGTGGATCTTCTCCCCCCACGGCACATCATCAGTCCCCGTCGTTGCTCTCAAGTTACCCTGCCCATCATCATGACTAAAGTACCGTGGTTCGTATCGGAGCCTCATCGGGTGCTATTCCTCGTGCCCGCCAAGGCTCTATGGCAGCCTAGGGCTGAGCGGCCAGTCCGTCGTAAGGACGATGGCACGCGAAGGACGAGGGGCAAGCAAGTGCTGCTGCTGCTGCGCGATGCGAAAGGCGGGATGGATGGATGGATGGATGGGGCACCGTCTTTGGCCCGCAGTCGTCCCGTTTTCTCAAACCCACTCCCACGATGAGGCAGGTTGACTATCCAGTCCGTCCACCACCCCGCCGCCAGGCTGTGCCGTGCGGGTTCTCTACCTTCTAGCGGATTTCTCATTAGACTCTATTCTAGGTACGGAGATGGGTCGACCCATACGTGAACTCTTGGCTTGGGCCCATCTTCAACTCTGACCGTCAACTGTTCCATGTTTCCCTGTTCAGACCTATCTCCGTTGCGTCCCAAGTTTGGATCTTATAAGTCGTCTTTTCCCCCTCCCCTTCTGCCCAACCTCTCGACTCTGCTTCATCCTGTATTCAGCTTCCCCAGCCAAGATTAATCAAGCATCTTGTAGCTTAATATCTACTCACGTCCGAGTCCCCCAGTCTCACTGACATCTCATCCTTCCCTGTCACTCAACCTCCCCCTACCCATCAACCAACCGATACCATGCATTTCTCAACTGTTGTTGGCGCCGCTGCACTGGCTACCCTCGCCAACGCAAGGTACGTTCCCGCTCACCCTTCTTGGCCTCGGACACAGACATGAAACTAACATCACTCTTACAGCCCTCTCGTCCGCCGTCAAGGTCCCGCCGTCGGCCAGGTTATCTCAAAGTGCACACAGAACGGCGTCGTCGCCCTCACCTTTGACGATGGTCCCTTCACCTACACCTCCCAGCTGCTCGACACCCTCGCCGCAAACAACGTCAAGGCCACCTTCTTCGTCAACGGCAACAACTGGGGCAACATCGAGACGGCACCCGGCCCGGACAACATCCGCCGCATGAAGGCCGAGGGTCACCTCATCGGCTCTCACACCTACTCCCACCCGGACCTGAGCACCCTCTCCTCGGCGGACCGCATCTCTCAGATGACCCAGCTCGAGGACGCAACCCGCCGTATCGCCGGCTTCGCGCCCAAGTACATGCGCGCGCCATTCCTCTCCTGCGACGCCGCTTGCCTGAGCGATATGGCCAGCCTGGGCTACCACGTCATCGACACCAGCCTCGACACGAAGGATTACGAGAACGACACCCCCGAGACCACGCACATCTCGGCTGAGAAGTTCAACAACGAGCTCAGCGCCGACGCCGCGAGCAACAGCTACATTGTCCTCTCCCACGATGTCCACCAGCAGACTGTCGTTTCTCTGGTGCAGAAGATGATCGACAACCTCAAGTCCAAGGGCTACCGCGCCGTCACCGTCGGAGAGTGCCTTGGCGACGCTCCCGAGAACTGGTACAAGGCCTAGAGTCTCTGTGCCTCGTGGTGAAAGTTTGTGAGAAGCGTGAGGAATTGGATAAAAATGGCATGGAGCATCGCATTGGAAATTTCTGGACAAGGTTTCGTTGGATTACACTTGCTTGTTTCCGCCGGTTATACGTACATACACACATGGGTGGATATACCAGGGACACCCCATCGGCGCACGTCATTTCGTGGAGATACCAATGTTTAATGAAATTACTAGTACCTCATATGAGTCTGTCAAAGTCTTCGTGATTGCTTCTCAGTCTCGTATTACCCCGCTTCTCTCACTGCTTGTCTCGTGAGTGTCGACAGTCTCACCTCGTGTAAGTCAGATGAGTTAGATCCACCAGGTCGTCTTCACAAGTTCAAATCCACCTTGAGACCACGAACCCCACACCTCTGCAACTCACTCTACGCAATTGTTATGAGACCATCGTGTACTATTCCACTTTCATCGAGAAATTATCAATTATCTCCGTTCGCTTCGGTCCGGTGGCTTCATTGGTAGGGCGTCTGACTTTAATTGATTTCACAATGAGAGAAATCCCCATGGATTTTCCGAATTTTATCAGAAGATTGTGGGTTCGAGTCCCGTCTGGATCGAATTGATCAAGTACTGCCTGGGGTTAGCATATGCGTGATTTGAGTTATTCTTTCTTTTTAATGCCAACGAAGGATCGTATGGTCGAAGTGGTTTAATTAGACTTTTAGGTTCTGATGGTGTTGCGGAAAGTCTCATTGTTGATCGAATTTTGCCCTTCCTTGTCTTGCACATTCTGTCGGACTGAAAAGACGCCCCTCAATGTAGTTATGTACCGTATACACATATTAATCCTGAAGTCGCGCCTGGATCTTAAGCTTGGGCGTGTTGAGCCCACGATTGCACGAAAGCCCTCAGGACACGCCGGTATGCATAGGAAAGACAAGTGAGTGATGAGAGATCTTAAAAATGGTATCTGATGCGCAATGAAAGAATATTACGCACTAGAACTTGAACTCTGAGCTTCTTCATCTGAAGTTGCTCACATGCTGATCTCAGAGCTAATGCGCCGTTCCTGGTGGCTTGGGAGGAATCTGACCCGTCAGGATCCCATGTGCTCTCTCACATATGTCTCACGTCGCTCAGATCAGCTACGTCTTGAGCGTGCTTACCACAAGGCTTGGACGCTAGCTGCTTCCCGACCGCTCATATTTTCTGTCTATCGTGATTCAGGATAGGGGTAGAGAAGCCGAAGATGACAGGCTGCCGGTGCCTTTCTCTTTGTAAGTACAATATATAAGTCAGAACACTCAAGATTTTCGCTAAGAGACAACTCAGTAGATTTAGAGATTCTCTGAAAACAACTCGAGCATCAAGGACAGACTATTCTACATCATCATTATGTCAGATTATACGGATCAAGTGTCTTCCTTCGAGATACTCTTCGCAAGGAAATTCGCTCTCTCCTTCCTGCCGAATCAGAACGTTTTCCTTTGTCGGCCCAGTCGACAAACGAGCTCTTCCAAGGCGCCGAAAAAGGCACCTTTCCTTGTCCTGCAATTCGAACAACAACATAGAAAGCTCGTAATCGCATATTCTATCAGTCCACCCATTGGTTTCAGGGTCAAAAACGTGAACCTCTCGCCACTTAGCAGGCATGCAGTACAATGTCGATTTGTCGTTCTGCTCGTCAAAATTGTCATGGAACATATCCAACTCAACATGGTTCTCGCGTTGTTCCTCTCTAGGGTTGAGCCCGTTGACTACTATGTTCCAGACTTGTTCATGATGGTCATCGTCTCTCCTGTGCGGCCCTTCGCTACGGTAAAGTTTCATTTGCTTCAATATACCCCACAAACGCAGCCACCCCCCAGAGATTAGGCCGGTTTTTTCGCCAGTCACGTACCCGATATGGAAGTCCTCCACCTTGATGAGCAGATGGTCGGGCTCATACAGGCTGCCTGGTGCGACAGGAACGTCTACGGCGGCCCAAGACCAACTGGGAGCCCTATAGGCGATAGGCGGCGAGCTAGAAGGAGTAGACACAGTAAGCACTCTCCAAAGGAGCTCTGATTCTAGGTGGCGACGCCACATGCCTGCGATGTATTCATCTCCCAGCACCTTCATCATCTCCTTAGCTATTGCAGAGAGAGCAATCATTCTGTCGCTGGGGAACGTGATCTTGCAGCCAGTGTATGTGAATACGATTTTGGACCAGCACTCGTATGCTTTTAGTGTGCCTTTCGTCTTTCCTCGGGCTCTGTTGTCGCCAAGCTGAAGATCCTCGATACGCGGACCTTCGTAGGGATCCTTGACAGGAATGTCCGGGGGCCATATCTCCGCCGCACGACCTGACCGGCAACTCCAAAACACCTGACGCTCGCCGAAAGACACAACACGTCGAGAAAGAAGGAACTCTTGAAATACCCATGCCCTCGTGTTGACATGGGCTCGCCTGACCTCCTCCTCCCAGAAATTCGCATCGACCAGATAACTTGGATTCGTCTGACCTCCGAAAGTGTAGTGAATAAGTGGTGGTCGGCAAGAATCGACGTCCCGTTTGTAAAATAGGGAATGTGAACTATCCAGTCCAGACAGAGCTGACAAGTTGCAGAATGCGTGAGAATACACCTTATCCATGAGGGTCGATTCGTGTCGCCAGTCGGCCAAGCCATCTCCTGTTTGAATGATGCAGAGAGCATCTATCCAGAGATAACGTACACCGAGTTTCCGAACAAAACAAGCCGCATCTCGATAAAGACGTGGTAGGCTCTCTGGAAGAATGCCTTCCAAAAGCTGGGCGGCGTTGCTCTTGGTCAAAGTGAGACCGTTTATGCTCCCCCAGCAATGGCTTAAAGTCATATAGGGGCCATGAGGAGTTTCATCGCCAGTGTTAATAATGCGGCAGACAAGACTCGATGTATCCAAGGGACCAATGTCAATGAGGCGCGTTGGGTACCACTTTGGATCAGTGGCAACCTCTCTGCACTTCTCATGATTATTTTTGCAATCTTGGAACCACGAATCCACCTGAGCAAAAGTCTGCTGCGAAGAGGTGCTTTCAGAATATGTCTTGAGTGAGTAGGTTTGATAGGAGCCTACAAAGCGGTCAGTCAAACCCGTTTTGAGCATGATTGACAATCTTCCTAATACAGACTCATAAAATAGTCATGATAGTTGTCTTCAGTCTTGACAATGAAATGGCGTTCCCGTCAGGCTTTTTACATACCGATGCAGGGAATGAGTCTGAAAGATGCTCCCTGGTAATGCCGCCGTAGTCTGGGAGAAATCCATAGTGGGAAAGCTTGTGGGTTGGCGACGATTCGAAAGAACTCTTCACCCTCATGTCCAGGTTTCTCGTATGCCCGCAAGGCGTGTGTGATTGCCGTCGGACTGGTAATCCATTTGTGGTAATCTGTGTCGGGGTAACTGCTAGTTTCTAGGCCTGCGCTGTGAGGAACAACTGGGGAATTAGAAGCTTCAACGCGGATCCAGTCTCTCGCGTCATGAGGCAGAATTGCCCACAATCGATTACATGCATAACAACCAGCTTTAACGGCACACTCGAGACTCCGGCAGCTTTCGTGATGAGATATAGGCCACATTTCTTCTCTTGTCATTATAGAGTTTATGAACTCTTGGCAAGCCGAGCACAGCATCTTCCGGGCCTGAAATTAAGGGAATAACGCTGCCTTATGATTGAAGACGACAAATAGTAACTCAATGGCCAGTAAGTGACAGAGGTATGAAAGGTTAAAGAACATTAGTGGTAGATGATTCAACAGAAACCGTAAGGCTTTATATATGTGACTGGTCACGGGTTGACTCACAGGTGACGGCCGCATACATCACTTAGCGCCGGCAATCAACAGATTGATAGGCAGTTTGCATGAAACAAAACAGAGGCGGGCGTCTGAGTTGATTGTTGATAGGTTCTAGTACGAATAATCCAAATTGGTAGGCGGGCAGAACAATGTACCTGCGTTGGAATGCGCCCAAAGAAGACATGACGAAGCTACCCTCTCTTGCCCTTCGTTCTAATCGGTGCTTCTACTGTTCACACCTGTCATCCAGTACTAATACACTGTTCACTATCATACGGTACTTTCAGTAATTCCTCGAGCTCCAACGACAGGTCCGCATTAATCCTTGGCAAGGTTTGGCCAATCTCATAGCCAACCATCGATAGACACTGCTGTGCTTGCACCAGTATATTGCAGACATTTCAAGCACGATAGTTAATTTGTCTAAGATTGTATCGGACCGTTTGAGTCTCAAGCATCATCTAAGACTTGATCTCACGAGCAGATGTCTCCGAGATTCCTTTCAGAGTGTGCCGGTCTGTCCACCTGCAGTACAAGTGGCTACCTCCCTTCCCTGGTTGAGAACAGACTGCTCGTTGGGAGGAATGAACTGAACGCAGCGCCCAAATCGATCGCATTCGCCATCCTTGGCGCCTACAGAGCATGCCGTCCCAACATTTCCAAATAGGGCGCTGCCCTTTCCGTCGACGAAACTGCGCGGCACAGAAGCTATATTTTCACGTGGTTAGCGAGTTGTAACAAAGTAATACATCATGTACTATGCAGGCGGTTTAGAATGGGATAGAAACTACCCACCTGCGAAAGCGTTGCCAACGGCAAAGGCGGCGACGGTCAAGAAGATGGCGGAGAACTGCATGGTGGTGGTGATAGGTGTAGATTGACGAAAAGTCGAAGAGATATGTTAATTATAATAGTTAAAGTGCACCTGGCAGCAGTAGAAGAGAAAAGGCGGAATGCGATGATTGGAAGTTGTTTGCTGAAGATCAATGTTGAATAATCGGAAATGAGTTTCCTTTATACGCAAGCGCGTCAAGGCAATATGACCATCGTGCACTATAACATATGCATTCTAAGCTTATTTCTTACCTTCTTTTCCTTCCCCAGTCCTCGTGGAGTTGCAGTGCTGACTCCCTCAAACGATGTCGAGACGCCTGACATCCGCGACAGTGGGTTTGGCATACTGCTGAATACTTGTTCTCCTATAGACAAGGGGTGGATAGGGCGATGGGCCCGTTGTTCAGCCTCTCGGTTTCGGTGCTAATCAGCGCAAGGAGCTGGAGAATCTGGGTGATCGCTGGGTCTTCTGGGCTAAGCTACCGCTTAATCCTTCTTTTTCGTTCGTTTGGTGATTTCTTGGCCCCGGATTCGCGGCAGACATGGTATTGGCGCGGGGAGCCTTACCGACGGGATGAATCCAGCCAAGGGCAACATGGCTTCCTGAAACACCAAGTCTCCAGTTCACGCGCTGCAATAGGAGCTTGGTCGTACGTCTGGCAGCGGACACCTGACCAGCAACTGGACCGTGCTGCTCAGAGATTTGTAACAATAACTTGCTGAGTGGCACTCTAGGCGGGCATGCCGTAGGCGAGTTGTGGCATGACTGGGACAGGTGTAGACAGCGCCTCCCCACCTCCCACCATCTCATCTAGGCACTGTGAAATACTGCTCACAGGGGCAGTCTGATACAGGTTGTCAGGCGTGTGTCAAAGCGTTTCAAAATCCGGACGAAGCGATGCGCTCGCAGTACGAGACGGAGGGCTTATTTCTGGCAGCTGCCATCCAATACCAAGCGCTCTATGTGCTTAGCTTTCTAAGAGCTTAGAAAGTCAAAATAAGGGACGAAATAAAACTGTCAAGAGACAGGGCATTGCTTGTGATTTTGACGCATTGGACGACGGTAACCGATGGAACCTCGAAGACATCGATGCATCGAGTCAATGGCTACACGCACAAAATCATAATCTTTCACTTTTTGTGATACCGTGATGACTTATCTGCTAGAGAAGATCCATTGCTGCATATCCTTAGCTAAAAATGGTTATAGACCAATACACCTATTGGTTCCACTAGGCCGTGTTGCTGTATCATTCCTTCTCGGCTGGCCTCCTACTACTGGAGTTAAGACTTCACGTGGTGGGACGGTGTTGATACAAGAAACAAATACAGTCAATCCATCAGAATACAGGGTTTGCCTTACCACGAGATGCTCCTTCCATTAAGTCAATCTTGTATGCAGTTGGAAGACTGACACACTTGTGTTAGTTTCGTCTCTCCGTGGATCCCGCGGGTGCCAAACGAATTCTAGCAGACCAACACCCGCCGGCAGCCCACCTAGGCATCAGACAGGCAGCGTGAGCAGTAAGAGCACGGAGCACACCAGAATAAGACGTGACTTATCATGGTTTCTTGTCAAAGTCAAAAAGTACTGAGAAATTTTTAGTCACAAGATGCAACGGCCTTCTCCCTGTCAGTGCATAGTCACATTAGGCTGTCACTTAGAGGATGAACGATATTCATAGTTAATCCGTACAGGTACCTAGTAGCTAAAGCATACACTGCGACTCTCCCAATCCATTAAGACAGGGTCCCAAAGCTGCTTCTCAACGGTCACGGAGGACTCGCCAAAGACAACATTACAGTCGACAACATGCCGCTGGTCATTCGTAATACGACCCGTCGACGCCATCGTATTCACCCACTCCATGATGACTAGGAATGCACTCGTATCCCAGAGCCCGTCACGCCGAGGGAAGTCCTTGAAAAGCTGGACGATAGCATGTCTCACTCCAGGCATTGTGCACATGAGGAACACAGTACACAGAGGCCAGGTCGGGCCATCCTCGATCGTGAAAATTTCTGTTGCCTCTGCACCCTTTCGGTTCTCGGCGTCGTGCACCTCGAGAAGCTGCCTGCTCATGGATATGATGTCCATAAACGCGGGCGTGATGCGCTTGGTGTCCTCCACATCGGTCCAGCCGGCACAGCGTATCACGCTCCAGAGGTACAAGTAGTGTATTCTAAGGCTGATGGCCTTGTAGTAGCTCTTGAAGTCCGTCTCCTTCCCGGTCTCTGCTTTGACGGCGAGCGGTTGGAAGGCAAGGTGCCAGGCGTCGGTGAAGCGTACAAAACTCCGGACGCGTGCCTGGGAGCTCGGCGAGGTGTACTCGGGCGGTGGCTTCTCTGGTAATGGCGCGGTCGATCCCTCGACTATGAACCCAGTGTACAGCGGTGCATGGTGCTCGACGTGGTGGCGTACGACGTTCCACCAGCGGCGGGCAGCTTCCAGCGTCTCAAACTTCGTGGGCATTTCGTCGACAGCGTACCGCGTCTTGCGTCCGCGGCAACACCACGGTACTCGGCTCTTTGTCTCTTTCGGATGCGATCCTCCGTGAGTCCAAGATTGGAGACTCAGATACTGGAAGCTAGTCATTACTTCTTCCAGCAGAGGGCTCGATTCCGCGCCTTGGCTTGGTGGACACTGGTCAAGGATGCGAGACCCGTGGTTGATGTGGTTCAATCCAGCTGCCTTGTTGCCTCGAAAGCACTCGAAGATGATGAACAAAAGACATGCTGTCAACGTACGTTCGAGAGACATTGGTGTTGAGTAGAGGATGTTCATCGATTTCGTGTAGTGGAACAGAGCATCCGAGTCGAATCTACCTCGCCCGAGGAGACGTTGTTCTCGCGTAGTAGCACCTAGGGCTGCGGCGCCTACGGCCAGAGCTGCGTGTTTGATGGCAGGGTCGTTCCATGAGAGTTGCGGGATAATCTGTGTGAGTAGATCGGACCGGAATAGAATGGCGGTATTGGTGAAAGATAGCCAGTAGTCGAAGTGGTCCTTCTCCAGCTGGCTCGAGAAGACGAGAGTCGAGTAATTTGGCTCAAGGAGTACATCGATGACTTTGGTCTTTTCTGGTTTCGGTTTTGGATACAGCAACCGATGCTTGGGTGGTGACTTGGAGGGTTTGGTTTTGTTATCTTTGTAACCTCCACAGTGGCCTTGGTATTTCAAGCAAGCCGCGCATGCTGGTCTGCCCTCGTCGCACTTGACGCGGCGAAGCCTAGAGGTGGCATGAGTATCACTACTAAGATTGAGTAAGGTATATTCTCCATATATGACTTACTTGCAGGTGACGCAGCCACTGCGAACCTTAGGCTTACTGGCCCGGACTTGTTGTGGTTTTGAGTCGAGGGCAAACTTTGTGATCAGAGGACGAAGGTCATTCATGATGACTCGAATGAACAATCTGCAGCTGTATGTTGTGTTGCGCTAAGCTGATCTAACGCGTGCTATGTGGTGCAAAGGTCACTCATTATATGTCAGTATCATTGTTTCGAGATGAAGAACGATGTCAAGTAAAAGGCGAAAGGATAGCTAGGATGGTCATCCTGAAGCGGGTGATGTTAACATTTTCGGTTGACCGGTAAGGGCTTGCCAGGGTTACCTCCGACATAAGCACTAGCGCACGTCTGGCCAGATCAAACCATTATTACCGTCCAGACACCACGATACCAACGCTGCAACGGGTCTCTTTTATTTTGCTGCCTGGCTCGGTTGGGATCCTTCGAAATCCGGACCTGATTTTTGTCCAACGGCCTTTAAACCCGCCTCGGTACTACACCTCTCATAGCTGTGCTGAGATCCGAATTAGGATATATTTTTCATATTGGCGCTCAGTTCCGTTAATTCCACGCTGGCAAATTCTTGCCCCCCATGTCGACTTTCCTACAGACAACAAAATCAGAGTCCGAACGGTGTGGGGCCAGAGTTGTGTCCAATACGATTCTATTGAGCGTGAGCCAGTAGATGGACATTAGCCTAACCAGACGTCTTTGGCCTCAACATGTGACGATCCTGGTTCCCGCAATAACGGCCGTAAATATGTCATATCTCAACGGCCAGCTGAGCTGATGACATACCGACGAGAAGGAGTCAACTCCGGGATCTGCCCACTGGTGATTCGTGAACTTCAACCGCGGCACGCCGAACAGCGGATTCAGATACTGACTTTGTTTAGGCAGCTATCACGAACCTTGCCATTCTTATATCTATCTTTCTATTAGTTATTCATCTAGTTCATTGCGCCAGCCAATATCGATCCAGCTCGATCATCAACGGCCGCAGCAGTAGCAGCCATGAGCCCGCCTTGTGATGATGGCCCGCTTGGTACCCTGGGCCTGGGTAACGTACCCAGTCTCCAAGCACTAGTCGCAATCCTTTCAATTCTCATGAGTGTTTATCGACTTCTCACAAACTTGGTGTGCCTTCCGTTTGCCACCGTAGCGCCCCTGGTCCCGTCGGCTGGGTTGACCTTGTAGATGTTGACGTGGGTGAACGCCAAGCTACCTCCGACCTTCTCAATTTTGCCCTCAATCTCAATTTCGTCTCCCAACTTGGCTCCTGAGAGGTAGCTGATGTTGATATCGACGCTCACACCCGTTGCCTCACGGAGGTCCCATGCCGCGATCGCCAAGCCGCCAGCCCAGTCCACAATGGTAGCCGAGACGCTGCCGTGGATGCTGCCTGACGAGTTCAAGTGGTTCGCGGTGATAGGTAGGCGTGCGATGATGAGTCCCTTGGAGGCGTGAGTGAGCTTCAGGCCAGGGTTAAAGAGGAAGGCGTAGATTGGGGATGCGTTGCAGCGGGTTGAGATGTAGTTCTCGATGTGAGCGAAGGTGGCGGGGTCTGATTGCGCAGAGGTGCCGGTGGCCGGTGGTGGTTGAGATGGCGTGGAAGACATTGTGAAGCGTTTGTAGTTTCTGACTGCAGGCTGTGGTAATGACAGGATATGAGTTCAGTTACAGAAGTGATTCGCGATGCCGGAGGTCAACGACACTGTTGAGTTGTTGAGTGACACAATCCGAGAGCGAAGGCACGTGCGCCAAAGATTTCTTTGCGGTCGGGCGGACTCCGTCCGAAGTCGGCCCCGAAAGTCCCACTTTTGCCGTCGGAGCGGAAGAAATGCATCAGTGGCTCTAGATGATGCTTAGCGCTGAACGCCGTAGCAAATATCAAGCGGAAAGACTTAGAGATTCTTTATACGAGGAAACCGCCATGAGATGTCGTCACATATTTGCAGCAAGTGGCCAGGAAGTCAATGGAATGCAACCAGCAAGAACGGTTGAGGCCAACCATGTTCTCCGCAAAGCTCACCAATCATGGGCAGTAAGAAATGCTAGAACCCGCAGCCAAACACACGAAGGGCTTGGTCATGCAGCTGGCAGAACGGCGACTGACGAAGCGACGTTGATACTTGATATCAGAAACGCGGCCCGTCGGCAATTGCGACCAATGAAGACAACACAAGGTGAAAGGCGCCACAGTAAATCCGGATAAACAATCGCGGCTGCAAAACGAGTAATGTAGTCGGAGCGATGCTCGAAGTGACGACATTCGCATGGCGCTGCTTCTATCCAACTTGGGCTGGCGTCAGTTGCAGATTTGCCCTAGCTGTTGTGTGGAACAACTAGCAAGATGGTCATTGGACCGGTTTCGCCAGCATGGAGCCAGTTCCGTGTCAGCAAGCAGGGGTTCCTTCGAGGCCGTTATGTCCGGCCAGGTCGAGATGTCGGTTTAGACCCACTCGGCCAGCCGATGATTGTACGCTGCCGTTGACCGATGTTTGTATAAGTGAAGACGATGGTCGTGGTTTGCTAGGAAACTCGATGTTTGTAAGGCCATGAAGTCACGCTGCTTCTTGTAATTTCTGCTAACAAGATGGCAAAATCAGAAACGGCCCCAGCAACTTTTGTAGTTGACGAAAATGGCGCTGAAAGGGCGAGCGTTCCAACTGTCGTTGACTGGGAAGGAGATGACGATGCTGAGAAACCAACAAATTGGTCAGTGTCGAAGAAGTGGATCAACGTCCTTCTCATATCAACACTTACCCTAATCTCGTAAGTTTCTCTCACTCAAGAGTCGAAAAATGGCATTGCCTCGATGTTGACAATCTCTTTCCAAGGCCATTCGGCTCTTCAATGTTCGCACCCAGTACAAGCGAGACAATGAGAGAGTTTCACTCCACCAACGTGGATCTCGAATCCTTCAGTGTTTCCATCTTTGTGCTTGGCTATGCTTTCGGACCTTTGATTCACGGACCGTTGAGCGAGCTTTACGGCCGGCTCATTCTGTACCACGTCAACTCCCTCCTCTTCATCCTAGCCAACGTTGCTTGCGCACTGTCGGTTTCGTTACCGATGCTCATCGTCTTTCGTCTCATCACTGGCCTCGTTGGTTCCTGCCCGTTGGCTATCGGCCCAGCTAGCGTCTCAGATTTATTCATCCAGGAAGAACGAGGCAAGGGCCTTGCTGTCTGGAACCTGCCGGTACTTCTAGGTCCGGCCATTGGACCCTTAGTTGGAAGCTACCTATCGGCGGCTACCGGTTGGCGGTGGAACTTTTGGTTCCTAGCAATTGCGGTATGCGCCCAAGAGTATAAAGTTAATATCAATCGGATTTCATAACTGACGAGATGTGCAACAGATGGGAGCGATCTACATCGCTACGCTACTACTGCTCCGAGAAACTCATTATCCAACTCTACTAGAACGGAAAGCTCGAGGACTACGTAAGAAATACGGAAACCCGGAGATATCATCTGTTTTGGCATCCAGAAAGTCCCCGCGGGCCACATTCCTGAACGCAATCATTCGACCGACCAGACTTCTTATCTATTCACCCATTGTTCTGACTCTCTCTACCTGCGCCGCAGGCAATTACGGCTTCATCTACATCATCTTCACCACCATGACCTCGACATTCATGAGCCGATATGGGCTCAGTAAAGGCGATGTCGGCCTTACTTACTTGGGCTTCGGCATCGGAAATATTGTAGGAAACGTAGCCCTCGGAGCTCTCTCCGACAAGCTTGTAAAAGCCATGGCCGGCAAAGGAGAGATGAAGCCCGAATACCGACTTCCGCCATTGATACCAGGCAGCCTTTTAGTCCCGATCGGCTTGTTTCTGTATGGCTGGACCTCGCAGTACAACATTCATTTCATGGTGCCGCTGGTTGGCACCTTCCTGGTGGGAGTCGGTACCATCCTCATTTTCATGTCCATCAATTCGTACTTGGTCGATGCCTTCACCGAGCATGCTGCCAGCGCGGTTGCCGCGAGCACCGTGTTGCGTAGCTTAGGTGGGGGATTGCTTCCGCTTTGCGGAGGGAAGTTGTATGAAGCTGTGGGTGATGGATGGGGCAATTCGATTCTTGGGTTTATAGGAGTTGCCTTTATCCCTGCTGTTTGGTTGTTGTACAAGTTTGGGGAACGACTTAGATTAAAGTCTCGAGTTTAGGCAATGAAAGCTCTTGATTTCTGAAAGCAGAGTCTTCGATGTAATTTTGCTGTCTTCGTGATTGAAAGACAACAAAAAATCAAGAGGACGAGTTAGTTTAACATATCAGTCTTTCTGCTGTCTGCTGGACTGTGATACTATTGCGTCTTCCTCAGTAGTCGCGAACCTTCCAAATTGTAATAGTCTTACATGAGGAAACCCAATCACTGTCCTCCTTGAAGGCAACCTACTCAACTTCCCGTACTTCCATAACCCAATCCCGAGCCGTCAGAGCGGCATGGCCATCAAACAATTCGAATTCCAACTCCAAAAGACAGAAGAATTCCACCAAGAGAGTCTCAAAATCCCAATCGTTAGAGCCATCCTTTGACACTTGATTTACGGCGCAACTAATCTGCTAGCTGCATCAACCAATCCGCTGACTTGAGCCGAGCATCGCCCCCAGGCGAGCCGCAAAAACAGAGCCCCCTGGTCCAGCATGCTGTCAGCCAGCAGCCTAAAAGCACAGCGTTCTGCGTCTGGGTATTACCTGAATGCTTCTTCCCGAGCGCCATTGCCCTCCTCTTCTTCACTTTGAGAGACCGTCTCATTTTGGAGTCGGCCTTTGATGCACCTCTGCGCACCGGCCGTGCTACATCGGTGGACGCGGTAGCAGGAGCCTCCCAGTATTGGCTTTGCGAAGGAGGGTGGTCGAGATCAACGTAAGACAGTTCTCGCTCGATTTCTTCGACACTCTTAGTGCTTTCGGTAGTCTCGGGGGTCGATTCTGTGGTGTGCTTCTCCTTTCGAGTAAATTTCGCCCGCAGGTTCTCGCCAAACTTGGTCGCAACTCTAGGGGGAATGTGCTGCTGAGGCAGGGGAGAGGAATTCGTGTCGGTTGTTTCGGCCTCATCTTCATTTGCAGCTCGAGCATCGTAGGTGCGAGGCTCGTCTTCTGCTATCTCGAATCCGTCATACACAATGTCGTCTTTGCGGCCCTCGGCTTCGGCAAGGTGAACTAGCAGATCCTCCTCCTCGCTGTCGTAGTCGCTGCTGAGACTGGAGACAGCAAGGTACTCTTGAGAATGAAGAGCGGAGAGTTCCTTATTCACCGGTCGTGTTCTGGGTCTGTGAGGTACCGAGCCATCAAGGATCAGGTTGTTCTCCTAAGAATGAACCGTGAATTTGATGCCCGCCGCCCGGCCCAGCTTTCTGACGAACGGGATGCATTGACCGGGGCGCTGGGGCGTACCGCACGGCGCTCTGCTGATATGGATTTCGTAGTGAGGCGCGAGACCTTGGTCTCGGAGGCGTTTGCGAAGTCGACTCAAGTCCTTGAGAGAAATGTCGTGGCTGTCTACTGGCTTGATATCGTGGGCTAACACCATCGCATAGACCATGTATGTGGCGAGTTTCTTTTCAATATGACCGGCCCTCCAATTGCCGCAATTCTCTGCCGTCATCGGCTTGCCGGCGCCATCGTAGAAGGTTCGCAGGTTAAGACCGAGGTGTCGAGCCATTCTCTTCACTCGTCGGTGCCATCGCGCATGGTAGAGGAAGTTGTCCCTCGACTCCCGGAGAGGAATGAATGACGTGCCGCTCACAGCGAGCTTGAGAACATCCAATGAAGAATCTGTACCTCGAATGGCGATGAAACCCAAGGTTTTGGTGGCGAACTTGTGCTTCACTTGGGTGTCTCCTTCCTCGCCGCGATACTCGACGTTTCCGATACACTTCAGCACTCGAAAGTCGGTCCCGGACTGCCTGTATATGAAGTCGCCTTCTCTGGTTTCCCAAAGCGCGAACTCAGTCTTTGCTTGCTCGTCACTCAGCCGCGTTTGGCCTGGATCAACCTCTTGCAGAGCGTCGAAGTGAGGACGTCCGTCTACCATTCTCTTGAAGAAATAGATGTTCCCGGGCGACTGGGTGGTGGAATCATCTTCGGTAACATATTCTCTCTTGGGGGCGGTATCGATATCGTTCTGCTCCAGCTTCTCTGAACCACCGGCGCACGTGCGATCAGGAGTGGATGGTAGGCTTTTGCGGTGAGCCTCAACACTAGGAACCGCAATGTCACACGATCTTCGTTCTAAGATGATGACTGAATGAGATGTAAGCTCAGTGCATGTGCGTGGCAGACGAATAGGGTATCTTACCTGGACTAGAAGAACTCCGCTCCTCTCCAGTGCTGGCAGCACCTTGAGCGGTGGAACGAACAATGTAGTTCATGTTGTTTGCTTGGTTCGGCCAGTGTTGTTGAGCAGACAGCTTGATTATTTGGTGACAACTCGTCCGTTCCAGTACGATGAATTGGAGTTGAAGAAGGGGCTCAAACTGTGAGAAGAGGTTTCCCATATGTGCTCTTGCCTCAAGTTAGTGATGTAGTCTCGATATTGAAGAAAAGCAGTGAAGGAGAAGCTCGACGCGTCGCGAGCGCGATAGGCGTGAGAGGTAGGCGAAGGAAGGAAGGAAGGTACGGGGTATGAGAGAGCCTACCAAGCAGACCGGGCAGGTCAACAACAACAAACCTGAGAAAAGAGCATGAGATGTTGAAGCAGCTTAAGTTGGTACTCCAAGTGGAACAAGCAGCGAAGACTTGTAGCTGCAGAAGATCCGTGACAGAAGTGAGAGCGGCCAGGTTGTACATAGAACACCTGCGAAAGGATGAGGAAAGAAAGGTATCGATTGAAAGGAACGAGGTCAGTGAGCTGGTGCAGTTGCTGTAATGAGACTCGAGTTCGTGACTGCGCGTAGTTGCGATGCGTTCTGGGATGGACTGGTGAGGCCCGAAGGATAGCGACAGGCTGACGAAAAAAAGAAGTGCCGGGAGGATGGAAGACTAAGGCGTGGATGAGGTGAGGATCTTGGTATCAGGCGGCAGGTGGTGACAAGCGTTGAAGCGCTGGTGACCGTGGACGTGTTATTGAACCGGAGATATTCAACCTGAGACTGGCGTCTTCACTTGGCTGAATTCAAGCAGTGAAGTGAGTGAAACGATCATTCGAGGCAGGAAGGAGTGTGCCACCGCGTCAATCACGAGCGTGTCGGCGACGGAGTGGATGAGCATGAGATTTGATGGTGAGCAGGGTATGAAAGACGATCACACCACGGAGCCACGCCTTAACTCACGAAGCATCTTGTCACGCAGGAAGGAGCGACAGCAGTGAGAAGATGACGTAAGGTCCGACGTGGATTCTGCGGGGTGTGAAGCACACACACTACATGTCAAGAGAGTATCAAAGCACCAGGTAAAGACGGAACTTGAATTTGGGTGTGGTTCCAAATGTTGCAATCATGAAACCCGTAATCCATTTTCAGACGCCTAACCCAATGCCCATTGCCGTAGCCATGACCCGGAACCTCATTTTATTTTACCGCAAACAACTTTTTAAATCGTGTTGGGGAATAATTTACTCGTCATCCTCCTCCTCCTCAGCCTCAGCGGTGGTCTGGGCGATACCTGATATGGTACGTTAGCATAGATGCTCTGACCAGACATATATGTAGAAAGGCAACTTACGGTCCAAATCACGCTGGCCGGACTGGGTGATGCGGCGGCCACCCTTCTCCTCGTCCTTCTCGAGGACACCGATCTTCTCAAGAGCCTGGCAGATCTTGCGGTCGACGGAGCCGGAGGCGTCGACGTGGTGGGAGGGGCGGACACCGCGGTTCTTGGCGGAGCCGTGGACCTTGCGGAGGCGGCCGACACCGACGGTCTTGCGGACGTAGATGTGGCGGGCGACGGAGGCGGCGCGGACGTAGAACCAGTCAATGTTCTGGGGAGGGAGCTCCTTGGCGGGGCCGGTCTTGACGATATCAACCCAACCTGATGGCGGACATTGGTCAGCGACGAGTTGACAATGGAGGGATAGTGTGGATTGGACATACCGGGGATGGGCAGCTTGCCCTGACGCTTCAAGAAAGCGGCGTACGCGTTGATGAACTTCTGCGCCTGCACCGGAGAAAAAGATTACCAATTAGCATGATTCCGTCATCAGAAGTCTTTCGACTCCCTCGCGCCTGCTCCGTATCCTCAAATTGTGTCCCTGCTCTCCCAATTGTAATCCTCGCCGACATGTCCTCCACAACTCGATGAGCCCGGCCTGCTTCGCACTTCCTGTCGTCACTTCGCATCTCTCTTTCCTCCCCCATGTGTCATGGTCGCGACATCCGCAAGACGCACCAAGAGGGTCTATTTCAACAACCTCTGGATGTAGATCAAGCTTCGGGGTGTACTCGCGAGATCGTGACCGGAGTGCAGTGGCGGCGCAAAGGGCTGTCGAGGATGTGGCGTGGACAGTGCGGTGTCATCGGAAAGTACTTTTGTGGTGATCTTGGTCGCAATTCGAGTGTTCGAAGAAATCTTGCGATTTTTCGTTTTTGGGTTTCGGCTGAGAGGTCTCCAGATGGAGAAGAACGTGGTGTTAACCTACATCGACATCGCGAACGTTGATTCCACCGGCCATTTTTGCGGTATTGGTTGGGTATTGGGGGGAGAAGGGTGGACTGGGTGCGGCGCTGGGCGATAAATTTGGCGATGAGGTCGGTCGGTCAACAGATCGAGAGGCACAAGTGCACGAAAGTTGCGATGGTAAATTTTTGGTGGTTCCCGGAGCTTGGCGCAGGGCTTCCTGCCCTGCGGGGCGGTAGATCACGTGCGTTATCTTTGCAAAAAATATTCTACTTTTCTTTTTGCCCGTTACCTAGCCACACCGAGTCACCGAGGCGTTTCATCGGGTCCGAGCGCTGATTATCTAATACTTCAGGTCCAGGTCCATTCTATGTGGGGCCAATGTTCGACTCAATGAGGGGCTCATGCTCGAGACACCAGAGCCTCACTCTGATGACAAGGAAACATGGGAAGAAACTCTCTGCATGAGTCCATGACCGCCGAAGCTTGCAGGCTCTCGTCGTATTTTGAGCTGTCACGAAGTAGAGGTCTCAGACTACAGCACGATCGGCCACGGTGGTCGATAGTTATCACATCTTCAGAGCAACCTCATATGCAATCACAGTATGACCAGTGCCAACTTTCAACTCAAAGCATTTGCGATTGCAAACATTCATTCTATCACTATCCCATTATATGCCTGACTGAGAGGCGTATGCAAAACTCCTCCTAATGCAAAATCCAAAATGCCTCCGAAAGTAATGTTCCACACCGTGCACTAAACACAGGCTCACCGACCCAGGTATCATTTTCACCGATTGCCCCCATAATCCGTTTACCATTTCCAGTTCCGTTTTCACCAATTCTACATCGTTCGTTTGCACACAACGTCCGTCATGGTCAATCCGTCACACCTAGGCCCAGTTGGCCAAGACAGCCATCACACCAGCACCGAGCGCGACACAGCCAAACGCAAAGAGCTGCACCTTGAGCGGTGAGTTTCTCATCTGCGGGTTGAACATGAACTCGTGGGCCAGAAGCTCAACCAGACCCGTGTACATCAGAATACCGGCACTGATAGAGTCGAAAATTCCGTTGACAAGAGTCTGGGTCTTGGCGCTGTTCGGCTGAGCGGCAATACCAACGGCAATAGCGATGGGTGTCGACAGGCCGTAGATGATGGCGAGAATGTGAGGCCACCAGCGGCCGTGGGAAGGCCAAGTGGCGGTGGCAAGACGCGAGCCCAAACCGAGACCCTCGAAGAACTGGTGGAAAGTAAGGACGATGAGGAGGACGACTAGCTCGTCGCTGGTGGCGAGGACGAGTCCAATGAAGATGGAGTGGAACACGACACCGAATTCGAGAATAAAGATGGCAATCAACTGGCCAGCGAGGCCGTTGTGGCTGTCTCCTTCGGTGTGGTCGCGAGCATGGCCGAGATGATCCCTTCCACCGGGCGGGTAGCTAACATCGTCTGGAAGTCCAGGCACCTTCTTGGGGTCGACAAAGCCGGCACCCCTCTCAGTGTCAACGTCGTGGGGGCAAACCTCGGTAGCGCTCGTCCCATCGGTCCCAATGTCCTTGGTCTTGGTGGCCATGCTGTTGCTGTGGCCAAGTTCGTGGTCATGGCTGCCGAAAGCAGACGAGGCGACGTTGGATGCGATCATCTCAATCAGGAACATGACCATGACGGTCATCAGGCCAATGGCGAAAGCCCAATCATAGCTGCCCAGCATCGGCTCCAAGCACTCGTTGTGCAGAGCCTCGACACCAGGGGCCAACAGATGCATCCAAGCGGTTGCGATAATGACACCAGTACCGACATACTTGAAGATGAAGAAGGTCATCTTGGGAACGTGCATTCTAGTGGTCCTGGCCAGGAAGATAGGGAGGAAGCCGCCAAGCATCGAAGCGACCATGATGATGAAGATGGAGGCGATACGCAACCCCTTGTTGCTGACATCGACGGCAGCGGCACCGCACTCGTTGACGGCATCGGCACCGGAGCCATCATCTTGGCGGAGGGCGAGGAGCTTCGCCGCTGACATTTCCAAAGGATTCATCTTTGTTGATTTTCTTGCTGAATACGTTACAGATGCTGGCAGAGCCTGCGACGGGTGCTTGCTTTAAGGCTTTGGTCTTAATCACCGCAGACAGGTAAGTACCCGGAAGGCTGTGACAGCAAGGTAGACGAGCTCGAGGCACCACCGGTGGTACAGGTTGGAGCAACGGCTTCTCGATCGACCGGGGATATGTGATAAGTGCCGGGGGATTGGGTTCGAAGCCTGTGCGTCTCTGAGAAACTGGGTTGGGCGGCGGCTAGATGCGTTTACCGAGGTGATACGACAGGCCAAAATCGTCTGAGAGGCGCAATGAGATGGCGACAGAGAGGAGCAACGAAGAGCTGAAGGGCGGCAGGGCGAGGTGTGCGTCCTGGGGAGATGGATCCTCGAAGGTCTTGGCTCGCAGCTTGGCGTCTTGGTAGATGGAGAGAATTGAGGCTCCGAGACAGGCGCTGGGCAGTATATATTATGCGCCAAGTGCAGGGGATACTCTGATGGAGACGATGAAGAATCGGAATTCTCTTTGTCGATTCTCGGAGAGAGGGAGGGCGAGTGGGCTACGGTGGCTGCGAACTTGCGCGGCGTGGGACGGCGTTGCAAGATGTGTCGAGAACCCGGATGGTCGTCGGTCGCGGAGGGGGGTTAGGATGGCATAAGAGGACGGAGGGACCCCCCGCTTAAACAGCCAGGGTGGACTCGACGAGGACGGACGAACCACAAAAGCAAGCGGGAAACCCGGCACCTTGCAGACCAAAGGAAGAGGGAATATCTTGTTTCGGTTCTTCTGTCCGGTGGTGGTGTTTCTGTGGTTCTTTGGTATGGCGCGGCTGATCAAAGGGAGACGTCAAGGTGGATTGCTGTGTGCTGTTTTTTCTTTGGGACACTCGATCGATGTTCTATCGCATGGCGTCTGATAGATGAGGTACTAAAAAGAAATTCTACGAGAGGGAACTATTAGACGACGAGGTACGAAAACGATATCCTGACGTGCAGGGAACCCGTCTGAACAAGTCGGTGGCCTCGAAACGATCGTTGGACGGACGAGAAAAGCTGTCCAATGTTTAGAGTTTTGACGGTTCACTTTCGAGGTTGACGGTGATACCGAGCAAGAGGTACCTTGGGCAAAAGACGAGTGCGCAGAGAGAACTTGGAAAGACCCAGGAACGGTTGACCAGAGCGGCACGGGTGTCAGGCGCGGGCGGAAGGCGCAGGGACGGGCACAGGCGGATGCGCAAAATGGAAAGTGAGGACCTTGATGGCCAAACGTCGATGCAGATCCACTTTCGCACCTTGTTCTTACCTCACGGGTTTCTTATCAAAGACAACCCAGCACCTGCTCCCCTGCAGCTTCCGCATTCATGAAACGAAGATAGAGCAGCGCAAATCGACCAGTGCAAGGTATTCTGCAAATAATTTCCATGATTCTATCCATCATGCGCAAGGACATGTAGTTTTTGATCGTTGGAAGCATCGCCAAAGTCAGCTACTTTCAACACAGATACATGCAACTATCGTGCAAGAAAGACTGGAGGTCCGCCAACGCACCTGCTTCGATTTTCAAAGTGAGGACCTTGATGGTTAAGCTAGTGCGGAGAACCTTGATGGCCAGCTTGCGGGCCAATGAGAGCCCGTATAAATTGGCACAAAATCTGATGGCGTGGGGCACCCGCGCCGAGCTAGCGCGACGGACCAGGGATAGTGCCAGTTGAGGAGCTGACAGCATCCAGGAATGAGGTGGGATGTCTTGACGTTGCGAGGAATGCGCTCGTAATTTGGTACTCATCCAATGGTGAGGGATATCGCTGATATTGCTGGTATTGCTCGAAAGGGGCAAAACACCGACATAGTTAAACCATAATCATGAACATTGATTGGGGATTAATTTTCGTGTAATATGTTACGGCTGAATGAGTTGAGACATTCTAAGAGGCAACTGGTGTTCAGCTCTCCTCCAATCTGCCACCCATCTACAGTACGACAAGCCCGAGCACGACTTCTTTCAGTGAAGTGGGAAGATCCTCTTCACATCTCCAAGAGTGGTACAGATAATTCTACGCCCGATGGCCCTTTGAATGCGGGTGGCTTCCATCCACCGCCAAGAAAGCTTGGCCCAAGCCGTTTCTGCTAGTTAAGCTTCAGCCAAGCCGGTCGCTTGCTTCCGTTCATGATATCGTCATGAAGAACCCCATCGACCAGTCTCATTACTTTCGGAAGTCATCAGAGACTTCGAGGCCCAGTGCCGCTTCTGAGTCCTACTTTTGCCTCTCGGCTAACATTTCCGAGAGAACAAGTATCAAAGGCGACGTCGCATTCTCCTCCTCCTATTTCATGCAGCCACCACGGCCCTCCCGACGCCATCCTGCATCGATAGCTGCGGCGTCACCTCGGGTTGTGTTCAAGGAGACCCGTAGCCACGAAGCCGGGATCTGTCGAGTCCAACCTTGACAGGTAGTACGCAGTACTAGTAAACTCAACCTTTCAGGTGCTAAGGATCTCGAGTGTGCAGCCGTGCCAGGATGCCGGGAACTTCTGCCACGCGCCAACTGCCTGTTTCTGCGACCGAGACGTCGGGAAGAACGTCGCATCGGGGAAGATTACCGGTGGGTACGTTGTAATATGGCCAAAATGCCCATTGACTCCATCTCATGATGAAAATTGGATTTCCACGCCCACCGTGCGGAACGGCGAGTCGAGCTTGCGCAGGTCGATGGCGCTGCCGAGACTGAACAAGAGGGACTTGACCCTCCCCTCCCACAAGACCCCAATCTTCATGTTCTGGTCCAGCCGCGCCTTGATGACGCTGCCGTATTCATCCGCGCCCTTGGACTCTGCCGCCGTGCCGGCATCCGCCGCCGCCGCCTCTAACGTCCCATCCAACGCAGGATCGTCCAATCTCCACTCCATCTTCGCCTGAAAGCTGCGTTCTCTCGGCTTATTCTTCCGCTCTTGCGCTGGCTCTTCCACGACGAGCCTCGGTTGCAGCTTGTGTGCCTCGGGCAGCTCGTCGTCCAGCCTCCACTCCAGCTTTGCCTGGAAGCTGCGGTTCTTTTTGACAAAGCTCTCGGCCGAGAGCGCGGGCTCGATGTTGCGGGTCAGGTTCTTGCGCCACAGCTCCATGCCCACGGACCAGTCGCTCTCATAGCTGTACACGTTGAAGTCCATCCTCGTCGCGAGACTGCAGTGCTTGCCCGCTACTACGGCGTAGCTGGCGCTGATGTTGCCCATCAGGGGGTTGATCGTCATTGTCGCCGTCAGCGGAGTGCCGCGGTGCTCCGGGAGCGTCGCAAACCGTCCGCCGAAACTGACACCGCCCGACTTGTTAAGCAGGCCGTAGTAGATCTCCCCGCCGGCGCTGAAGCGTCCGTAGATCCGTTCCTTGGCTTCATCCGTGTGTCCGCCCAGCTTGCCGCCCGATCGTAGAGCTTGAATATCTTCTGTATCACCACCAAAGTTGTATGCGCCTCTGAAGCCCAGCAGGCCGCCGTCGGACGAACCTAGGCCTTCGATGGCGTACCTGCCGACGTCATACTGAGCCAGTCCCAGGACGGTGCCTCCGTTGCGCAGAAACTTTCCCGAGACGGCGCTGAGCTGGAGTTGCAGCGCGGGGGATATCCTCTTCACGACGAGAGCCTCGAGCATGGACTCAGGGAGGTACAAACGGCCGTAGAGGAGGGAGGCGGCGGCTGGACTAAGGAGGGGGTAAGGCTTCGAGGTTCGGGGCGGGAGGTCGGCGAGCGGTCGGTAGGAGCGCAGCAGCGCCGGCAATGGTACGGCATCGGATTGCGGGGTGAGGTGCGCGCGGAGGGGCACGGAGGAGTAAAGGTAGGAGATGGAGCCGTCGACTACGCCTACGGAGCCGAGCTGGTATGATGTCGCAAAGTGAGGGGTCGCGAGAGATGAGAGTGTGAGGCGCAGGCCCTGCGGTGTTGGGAAGTTGAGGAGTGCTGCCGATGCCCTTCATGTTAGTGCTGGTCCAATGTGCAGTTCCCCAAGTGAGCTCTGCGCATTTCGTCAAGCCTACCATCTGCGGTTGCATTGAGCGTCGAGTACGAGTTGTCGCGGTTCCAGCCGGTGGCGTCGTAGAACGCGCTCTGCACGTAGCTCATGAACTCGCGCATGGTGGGCGGATGTTCAAGATCGCCTCACAGAGCAACGGGCTCACGACTTGCTATTGTCGCAAAGACATTTGTCTAGTACCTTAGCGCTGGAAGGTTTTGTGCGAATGGATGCTGGATGTAGCTCCTATGACGATCGCTTGGTTCTGGGCAGGGGAAGTTCTGGCATCGCCGGCTACTCGGAGTGGGTCCGGTGCATTTTGATTATATAAGCCGGCTCACTCATCATGCGAGGTTGAGGTAGAACTTGAGCAAAGACAAGGGCATAGCTCTTGACGAGTTATCTAAGGAACATCTTAGTTCCAATTGAGACAATAGATACGTTTCGATTCGAAATTCTCGTTTGCTATAACCAGGGCGGATGTTCATGACCAAGCCGAGTATTCTATCTTCTATACTCCACCTTACCTTATCGTTCTGTGCAACAGCTCCATGTACAAGCATGGATGTTTCCCGATTGGTGCTTCTGACCATCAACACCTTGAACAGGACTTGAACCTTGTCCTCTTCTTCTTTTGCTGGCGATACGGATGACGATGGCTTGCATTGCCTCCCGATCATGTGAGGGAGTCCCGTCACGCAATTTGGTCCGGCCTCGTCTTTCGCAGGATTTATCTCAAGGCTAAGATCACTTGCCTTTTCCCCTTTTCTCATAGAAGTCCGCAGTCGCGAGTCCAGCAGCCAGAAATTAGAAAATGATAAATGCACCCTCTAGAAATGCAGAGCTCTTGGGATGTCCGGTCTGGATTAGTCTGCTTGTTCCAATCAAAGTCGTTTATTTTTCAATGACTATGGCAACCAGTCGCAAGTTGTCGCCAATTAAATCCGCAAGCTTTACGATCTCTCTAAGGTAATCAATCATAAGATGGATGAATGGCGGCCCTCGCATCCACGTTTAGATGAAGAATTTCTTATTCGGACTCTCCATACGGAGAAAAGATCTCAATGCTTTGGAGTTTCAGAGCCAGTTTGAACATTATTTCCTCCTTGAGTTTACTCGTAGTGTGGCGTGCCCAAGGCTTTTAACATCGCGCCTTCACGTACGGCAGTCCTCACAGGTCGTATGCTTGGGATTCTGTCTTGCTTCATCCGGTTTAGTTCCTGAAGAGGCACAGCACATGGAAACACGATGGGCACTTGGCAAATCCTCCGCACCGATGGGACTGGGGCCTACGGCCAATGCCCGCGATGCGCGATGTCTCGCCGTTCCTTGGTTTCGCAGGGCAGAACGCCGTCCAACAAGATGTGGATCCTGATATTATCGATTTACAGGTGTGATTGGACTTGATGCTCGTTCCAACCAATGAGAAATGCCCATGGTCGGCCGATAACCAATGTTTGCGGAAGAAGCGGGGCTGAGGCATTGCTTCCGCAAGGACGGTCTTCAACGACCGGTAACTCAGCTTCAACCGTACCTTCAATATCTTCACCTGCTCCTTTTCCTCTCAAACTCAGTGAATCATATGGAAGATGACTATTTTCCCGCTTTAGGGAATCTCGAGATCTCAAAGAGCCTGAGCCCTTGACGCAGTCCCCCCCCCACGCCGTACAATTGCCGGCGCAACCAACACAAACATGGTATTGTTAGCGCCCCTGAAAAGGCACAGTCCGACCAACGCAAACACAGTCTCCAACGAAGACGCCAACAGCGATCAACTTGTCCCAAAAGTGACACGAAAAAGGGCCAAACATACCCGCACTCGTCTTGGCTGCGCGACTTGCCGGTAAGTGAGCCGAGTTGTTGGCTGGCCATGTTTCCATCAACGCGGTCCATATGCTGCGCCGACAAGGCGCTTGAGAACAGCGTGAATTTGCAAGCTAAGTGAATCTTCTTCCGGCACAGATTTCGCCACGTGAGATGCGGCATGGAACGACCCTCATGCCTTCGATGTAGTTCTACGGGAAGGGTCTGCGACTTTGTCGAAGATTCGAATAATGAAAGGCGCAGTTCGCTCCTCGCAAAAAGCGCATACGTGTCAATCGTACCGCGACCCAATCCTAACGATGCCATCTATCAGCCAGCCCCGCAAACCGGTCGCTGGATCAACTTTTATCAAGGACACTCGGCCCCTGAATTTGCTGGATACTTTGACGTGGAGTTCTGGAGCACCACCATCCTGCAACTAAGCTACCGAGAACAATGTGTCCATCAAATGCTCGTTGCCATTGGTTCACTCCACGAGTCTTTGAAGTCTGGCCTCGCACAACACTCGGACTCGAATGCCGTCAGCCTGTATAAATACGCCGAAGCAGAGTACACGAGAGCTGTCAGTCTCCTCAACACGCATATGACCCATCGAGGATGGTCAGCTCTCGAGATTACGCTCGTGTGTTCTATCCTCGGTATAATGTTCGAGTGGCTGCGCGGGGGCTATCAGGACGCTGTTCGACATCTCACAAGCAGCTTCAATATCCTATCAACGTGGTTATCCCATAGCGCCCCATCATCTACCACCACCTTTGGATCGCCAGAAGGCCACCTGATACGGAGTCAGATCAAACCAATCTTTCATATTTTGGTCTTGCAATCAAGGATGTTGCCGATACCACCCAGTGTGCCACCCAAGATAGTCCGAGCCCCGGAGCAAATAATGCCTGAGTTTTCCAGTGTCGCTCACGCTCGGAATATTCAGCTCGACCTCTTGACTTATGTTCTCATGGCTCCGCCAAAAGTCGCAGGATCCAAAGGGAGAACGCACCAGGTCGTGGCGGAACCATTGCGTCAATGGTCCGACAAATTTGCGCTCTTCATCTCACAACAGCCGCAATTGGCCTCCAATCCCTGCGTAAAGATACTAAAAGTATGGCGCATTATCACAGAAATGATTTCTCTATCGCCTTTCTCTTCGGAGCCGGCCTCTTTAAATGGGCTCATAAAGAAACTCTCTACCTTTCTGGATGACATTGAGAGTCGGAAGATAGCAGTTGACATAGGAGCCGTTGCGATCTTCTATTACACCGCTGCGTACTGCCGTCATCCCGAGACGCATCGTAGAGCTATTGCTTTACTGAAGTCAGCAGGTGGGCCATGGGGACATCATGTTGCTATCAAAGCTCAACAAGAATACGCTAGATTAGAGGATAACGATCTGAAACTGTGATCTTCTTGATCACCTAATTCCCCAAACAATATCAAAGATTCATCTTTGTTCATTTCATCGGAATTGAATGCGTTCTGTTAATTACGGGAAACTCTGTGGTCTTTATTGATTAAATCTATGCTTCATGCAATCATATCTAAAAGTCTCATGTCTAAATATCGAAGAAATCATGACTGCGCCCATTCCGTTACCTTGTGGAATATGAGCTTTGCGTCCTGCTCACTCGAGGACATCTCAGAGTAGTATCGTTGAAGATCATCCTCGGTTGGCAGTGTAGCTCTGTAATATGGAACGTTCATCTCGAAAAGTTGCCTGGAAAGCTCGCCGTAAATCTCTGGGTGGCCTTGAAGCGATAAGACAAGACCAGAGTCGGACATGAGAATTTCGTTTTCAGGTGCCAATGGCTTGAAGCCGCTGGGCACGTTTTGCACAAAGCGCTTGTGGAACTTTGTGATTTTCTAACGAGATCGAGGTCTTAACGACAGGAACCTGGGCATTGACCATGGGTGGGTGATATGCTGCGGAGGGAACTTACCAGCGCCTCTTTGCCAAAAAGTGCTTTACCATCATCATTTAGAGTGAGAACTTCCACGCCAACCTAGAGAATTTGCTTAGCATCTGCCTTTTAGAGCCTACAGGTTTCCTGCGCTGTTCCTCAATACTCACTCTTGGATGTTCAAAGCTACCGACTTTGCCAGAAAGAGCTGTCGCAATTGCCTGATGACCCCAGCAGATTCCGAGTAGCTTGGTTTTGGTGATGTGTTGCTGCCCCACCACTTGTCGAATCCATTCCAGCGTGGTGTCGACCCAGGGCTCATAAGTCGTCTGGCACAGGTTGCTCAGTCCGCCGGTAATAATGATGAGATCGTAGTCCGCAGGCGCTGGAAGGTGGCCATCTTCCTTCATTGGTCGATATGCGTCGATGATTGCATCTGGAACTTGTTGCAGGACATTATCTCGGAACGACTGCAACATTCCCCTGTGCTTTGGCTCGTCGATCTCGTAGGCTTTGACGATGGCGACCCTGAAAGGTGTTGCTTGTGGTAATGAACCCATGTTTATCCGTGATGTGTGTTCTTAAGCGTCCCTTGTTTCGTCTGTTTTAAAGTTTGTGTAGTGTTAAGTCTATGAGGAGTGAAGTCAAGTTCGAGATGTGTCGGTGTTGCGGTGCGAGACACTCTTGATACGAATGAAGTGGACTGCTCCGTGTTCTTGACTCAAAGCCGTCGGAGTTTCGGACTCACAGATAAGCTAAGCGCGCTCCACCAGCCCGGCAAGGTGGGCCGGCTAAACTCGGAGCATCCACTTGACACATCTCCGAGAATCGGACGCTGGAAGCTTAATCACGAGGCGCTCCGAATCCATAGAATTAGTCATGAAATGATGCTTGGTCCGTGTTATCTATCGTATGGCGCTCTGCGTCCACCAGTTATGAGCAAGTTTATCATCTGCCATACGCGCCCTGCCTTCCAGATGGGCTGGTCATGCTTCTCAATGTTTCCTTGATGAAGCTTAGCCTCCGCTGTCCGTCCAGCTGGCCTTTGCGGGTCCTCCAATGTAGCTTCCGCTTTGAGCCCTTGCATGAGTCAAAGAGAACCCCGCGGTCTGAGTATTGGGGTAAGCTTACGCGATGGCATGTTCTAGCCAACGCTGTTGGTCCCTGCAGATGGATCGGTGTGATGTGGCCGAGGAAAGCGGCGAACAAAGAGTCTTTGAGTTGCCGTTCTTACCCCACTTCCCCGGTGCCGGATTTTAAGACAACACGTTTAACGGCTCCGATTACCGAATTAGGAAACTTTTCACCACATCATTTGAATCAACTTGAACATTACGAACCGAAGCTTTTAGACACACAGAGTAGGTGTAAGCAGCTTAAGGCGTGGACAGAAAAAGCCAAGGTGAAAGAATGGCAGTTAGGGTAACGGAAGCCTAATTCTACGGTGGCTACGGCGGGGTTGAGAGGCGGGTCGGTTTTGTCTACTATGTGTTTCTCTCCAAATACCCTACCCATTTTACCTAAGGTACCTTA